GTCGCCTCGGCTTCGTCAAGGCACTGGCTCGCTTGGGTATAAAACGTCGAGCGGAGTGTCCGGCATATCTTAGCTTCCGACCTGCGACGCAAGTTACTAACAGCTCATATTCTGCAATGTTGCTTCCGACAGCCCTCACACTCGCGCCAGGCCAAATACGCCGCTGGGGAATGGAGGAAGCCCTAGGCGAATGCACGGAGCATATAAGCGAGTGATGGCGGAGAGCCTTGCTCAGAGTCTGAACCACCGCGACCTTCCGACGGCGATTCGAGCATTTATTTGTGGGGCTGGATAGAGAGGCGCAAAGTTTATGAGAACAGTTGAGATCGCGTCCTGAAGCGGAAGCCTAACGCTAGTAAGCAACCGGGCGCAGACATAAAGGACACAACTGGGAATTAGCTGTCTAGTAGCTGGACACTGCAACTGAGTAGGATTCGGTACAGCTCACCTTTAGAGGAACGGTCCGGGCGGGCCCGGACGGAGAAGTGGCAATCCGAGACCAGTATGTGCATGTCGTTGAGTTAGGCTCGACCCTTCTCAGCATTGAGTCAGGTCTCTAGTAGCTGTATTCGATTCGAGACATCTGTTGCACAGCTCGATAAAACGCTCTACAGCAAATTTCTATTCTTTGCTCGCAGCGTTGTGGCAACCTGGGCCACACTCAATTGAAATCACTCGACTCGAGACCTCCGCTCGTACAGATCCAAATAATCACATCAACGATACTGTTCGCCTGGAACAGAGCATGATTCAAACTTCAGTACAGTCTTCGGTGCTGGTCTCGCGACGTCCTTCCTCGTCCACTTCCGCAGTGTTGTTCTCTTCGTCCCAGAGTTCGTCGCTCCAACCATCTTGTAGCGTCTCCCCAATGTTTCCCAGTCGATTTGCCGGCCTTCTGAACTGTAGTGTCGCTTGCCTCCGCTGCTGATCACCAATGTGCAAAGAGTAATCCGGCATCTCCGAGTCGATCGTCCGCAGGTTGATCATGAAGCGGTTGATGAGCACCGGAGGCTATGTGGCTAACTCATGAGCGTTGAGGTCTGGAGGACGAACGGGAAATGAGGGCACACCAAAGCTGTGACTATCACGGATGCAGGAGACACACTCTTGAGTACAATGTCAGCCTTTCATCTACGTGCTCATATATGACTCTGGGAGACGTACCGCAGGGAAGTTGTAGGTCAGCATTTGGATGAAGTTCGCCACCAGCAGCGTCCTAAATTCACCATGGTCTGTGAGTAATTCCTTGAACGGCTATTCCACTCGTCACACTCACATGAAGTAGACGGTCCCTACGTGAGCGGCATGATTTCAGCGATTACGACAGTGCATAGAGGACTACTGACCGTCACGTAGCAGACATGTCGTTACCGACACCCCGATATTCGCATGACGCGCCTGCCTCCAGTGTCCGAACGTCCTGATCCAAGTCAGGACAAGTACGATCGTGTCGGCGAGGATGAGTGAGCCACGGGTAATGTATAAGACTGTAAGCAGCCTCTGTCAGCTCCTTTGGCATCCTGACAACTTTTCCTGAGAGACATACATCTACATGGTGTTGAATGAGCATCCAGGAACGGTACAAGCAAGACATTTACACCCACATGCTGGACAGGCGTACGGAGTACGGCGCAGTCTGAGTGCATGCTGGGCCGACGAGCGGCTCCACCGCATACCCGTACTTGGACGTCGTGAATAGTATCTGTGCATAAGTATCGGTAGCCAGTCACGGCCGCACAAGGCTCTAACAGAGGCAACACACACCATATTTGTCGCGAACGGTGCCATACTCAGTGCGAACACAAGCAGCGACCAGATATAGCTCCTGTTACAGATCGCAAAGACGCGCAGAGCAGCAAAAACTGATATGTAAAAGTCAGTGGGTATCTAGAGATTCGATCAGACGCCGCTTAGCACTCACGAGCGGCTTGGACAAACCCGACGAGGATTAGTACCCCGTACAGAATATTGACGAACTTGCAGCTGTGCGTTGGGCTTTTCTAGACATTTTGCTGCGCACAATTTCAAAGGACTTACTCCTATAGAAACCATAGCTTGGGATATTGCATAGCCCGAAGATTTGGCATCTGAGACTTACATTCTGAGTCGACGGTGCGAGCTGCAGGGGCACCAAGAAGAGCATGCACCATCGCACCGAGCCAAGCAGTACGGCAGACGCAGTGATGGGTCTCTTCCATACGATGCGGATCTCGTCGACGATAGTGGTGGCGAACTCGTAGATCACGAGACCTGAGGTGTGAATACCATTGGTAGCTGCGCAAAAAAAGTAAGAGTGCACTTGCACGAGACAGCGCAGGCAGCGCAGTTCCTCACGAAGCTGGGAAATACAATTATGAGTACTGGCTGATTAGCTACGAAGGGATGGTTACAATTGTGCGTAGGCCTGCACAACAGCCTGGTCCGACTGTAGAGGCATAGTGAAAGGGATATTCCGGGGGGATGGGCGAGGGTAAGCTGAATCGTGAGTAGACGGTCGCCTGTACAGTTTATGAGCAACTCGGTGGATCTTCCATCAACGTCAAGTTGCTCTGCAAACGCACCACTCTTGTCAACAGCGCTTCCACCCTACTACACACATATATTGAAAGATAGCGGTCGTGGATAATCCTCAGTTGGGCTCATTGGACAGGCGAAATTTGACTAATCTGTGTTCAATGTCAATGCCAGTGACTGCGAGAGATTAACGTACCGCTGTAATATTTACGTGAGTGGTGTGCCCACCCATATACGGAGAGAAAGGATATCACCACTCGGCGATGGGTTCACTGCAAGAGAGTTGCCGTCCATATCAGCTGCCAGCATCGTCGCTTTTCGTGATGGTCAGATGGAGATATGATACTATGGAAAGCGCGAACCATTTGCCTATTGATACACCGCGAGGCTCTGAACCGTATCAGGCCGCCACGAACGTGCAACAATGGTTCCACTGCAATAGGACACCATTCTAAGCTGAGCGCCGACGGTATGAGGATAGGGGATTCTCTACCTTTATGCCACATAAGTCTCGCGAATCGGTGGCGGTGCAAAGCCATGCAATAAGATCAGCCGGACGTGGGAGAGGAACAGAGCCTCGCCAGAGGCGCACGAGTGTGCATTTCCAGGAGCTTGACAATTTTGCCACCTCGCTCACATGTCGAAGTATCTCGCCTAACGTGGTACCAAAGGACATCTGCGAGCTGAGGTTAACTGTGATTCAAATTCGAGCTCCATCCCCGTGGATAGCCTGGAGGGCTACTGTAAGGAAATATTTTGTGGATCGCCACAAGCTAGTAGGACGTCTACTTTCTGATTCCAAGGAACGTGCTCCGCTACATTCACGGGTAATGTATCTCCAAATGAAAGAGCGGATTGGTCGGCTACCGGGTGCTCTGCGCCCTCGTTAGGTCGGGGACAAAAAGCGGCCGTCAGAGGAGATGAGCCTGAAGGAAGAGGGTCTCCGACCATAAGAACGAGATCGGGCTGTGTATGCAGCTTGCGACGAGGTCAGATGGCGGCCAGTATCATTACATATGCGAGGACCGGGGCCACTGAGAACAATGAGAAAAGACGAGCATGGAACTGCGTCAGTGGATGAACGACACCTTTACAACTCCATATTCACTCGAACACCCTGTACAGCAAGTGGTGTGTTATGCGCACTGGGACAATTTTGTTGTAGCACGGAGACATTTCAATGTTATGCCAGCCTAGTCGTAATCTGCGCACGATATATCAGTCGCCGAGAGAAGGCAGAGAAAGCATCCTACTTACCGCCACCTCCTTCATCGCCCCCTCCACCTCCCTGGAGGTCATCGTCATCCCCTTCTCCATTGTCGAAGTAGTTTTCAGCGTAATCATTGTCATACTCTTCGTCAACATCGTAGTCTTCCTCTGCAGCCTCCGAAGCAGCCTCTGATCGCTCAGCGTCTGATTGCTCCTGCAACGAAAATGTCATTATGCTATGACAGATATTTTTCATAAGAGAAGCGTACTGCATCAGCTGCGTCGTCAACCAGCTTGTCAAGACTGATCTTCTTAATGGACTTGCGCTCAGCTAGCCAGGATTGTCAAAACCGATACGTACAAAAACGCGGTGACGTACAAGTCTTTCGTCTCTTTGGATTGAAGTAGTCCTCGAATGTCTCTTGCGGAAAGAATGGCCGATGTAAGTCTTTGCGCTTCAATGTGGGCTGAGCAGCTGGTGATGACCTATACTTATCCGAATATCGCGGTAAGTCTACCCTTCTTTCCCAATAAGTTGACTATTTTTTCAAGATAGCGACTTGGCTCACCAGTCGACTTCGTAGTCTCAATGACATAGTAAGCAGACCGGCGAAGACGAGTCGCGAAGCCTATCTGAAGCTGGGCGATCTCTCTTTCTTCCTCGCTATATTCTGTGAGTAGCGGAAGAGGATCTAAAGACTGGATGAGCCATACGCGTCAGCAATAGAGGAGGTGACGAAGAATGAGGACGTACAGGATACAGTTGCGACTCGTCTCGGGACATGTTCTGGATGTCTGCAAACGTCAGACCCATCGGTGGGAGGGTAGCCCCTCCCCCGAAACCTCCTCTACCACCAAGACCTCCTCGCCCTCCTCGGCCCCCACCGCGACCTCCTCGCGACATTCTGGGTTACTGTCGTGTACGGTGGGCGGTACTTGGGTCCAGAACGCGGGCGGTTCAGGCTGAGCGCGAGACAATGATAAAAGTTGCCATACAAAGGCATAATTGGCCAGATAACAACTCGATTGTAACTCCGAAAGGGCTCATAAAAAACTCGACGCGCTTCCGGGCTCAACCACCAACAGCCATCACCCCTTGTCCTCATACCCCTCCGACGTCTCCCTAATAGCCCCCGAACTCGCCCAAACCCACCTTTTCAGTACCTAGAATAACATGGATAAGAGCCTTGACGAGGTCAGTGTTGTTCTCGATGGTTGCATTTTGCGCCACTTCCTGTTCTGCCAGCGAGGGTGACGGTGTTGACGATCTTGTTCCAGATCATTGCCACCCGCCGAACTCGTCGTGCGCCGCCTCGTCGTCAGTCTGTTAAGACGCAAGTTCTTGGGACCGCGAACAGCCCTGTTACTCGTTCTCGTGCCGCGCCCGCAGCCAACGGTGCCAAAGCTACTCCTACTTCCACTACTCCCCAACCCGCCGACAAAATCATCGTCTCCAACCTTCCTCCCGACGTGAATGAAGTGCAGATTAGAGTACGTGGGCGTATTCCACGTTCGGAATGTGTTGATACTGATCTCCCTCGACAGGAGCTCTTCCAGACTACTGTCGGTCCTCTCCGCGACGTTACCCTCCACTACGACAACAAGGGCGCTTCCAAGGGTGTCGCTGCTGTCCAGTTCTCACGCAAGGGCGATGGCACCAAGGCCTACCAACAATACAACAACCGCCTCATTGATGGGAGTTAGTATCAGCTGCTTTCGTCTTACCTCTTTCGATGCGTCATTTCTTGCCTTCACACCTTTCCGTTGTCGATGTGGAAGTCGCGGGATGCGGGAAGGCGTCTGTGGTGATGCGCTACGTTCCATGCTTGAACTGGTCCGGAAATTCCGCAGATGTCGACGAAGACACGCAGATGGGGCCGCTCGATTCTGTTCACCGAGCTCTTACTGTTCTGCGGACTCGTGGAGTCTCGTCGTCGAAGGCTGCCCATCAAAAGGTTGTCGACTAGCGTTCAGTGAGGCCTGATCACCCTCACTGTCTGACAAAGTCCGACCTGGGCGCACGTCTGTCGCATCGGATGCCTCACGTTCGGTAAACGCCCGAGAACACGGGGTCGCTCGGTTTGCAGCATGGTTTGTTGGCGTATTCCCGGGCTGTCTCTCCCTCACCTGTAGACGACCGACGGCCGCCTGGCGCAAGACATCAATCTTGTTACTTTTGCTTGCTTTCGTCTCGCTGAACAGCAACTAACAAACTATACTTCCTTCTCTCACCCCGTCACTCTCCTACCTTCCAACAACAGAACGCCCCATGAAGATCGAGATCGTCGTTGACCCAACTCGCGTTGCTCCGGCTGCTTCGCTCGCTGCCCGTGTTGCTCCCCCTCCTGCAGCTCCGGCTCCAGCCATGGCTGCCATCGAGTCCGTTCCAAGGTTAGTGGCGGCCAATCTGAGGCCCAGTCGACATATGCACTTCGAATCATCAATGCTCATGCAACCGTTCTATAGAACTGGTGGACGGCCTCGCAGGGGACGTGGTGGTGGTGGAGGCGGAAGGCGAAAGATCGATAGGCCGGCGAAGACCGCCGCTGACTTGGATGCCGAGATGGAGGTATGCCGCTTCCTTGGGCCGCGACGGCTTCATCGTGCTTACTCCTTTGGCAGGATTATACCGCTGCTAGCGCAGCTCCTGCTGCTACCGCTTAATAGTGTTGTTTTCGTATGCTTCCCACCCCCGCGACTGTCTAGCGTCTCCTTTTCACCATAGTGTGGACTTGTCTCTATGAGTTGTGCTATTACCTACCGCGTCGTATTATACTAGTCTCTCGCAAAAGCGATCTCCTGAATTATCTGTTCCGTTTCTCAGCCATGTTTACTCTGGTGTGCGGTCAGATGTGCAAAATTGAGTTCATCGGGAGTTTGTCAGTAATATGGCATCGCGCGGCTCACAATAGACCATCACGTAGCGCTATGGCGTTCCCCCTCCTTCCTCTCCGACCACCATCTCTATTCATCCAGCATTAGCTCAAATGTCGTATATTGAGGAAGACGAAGAGTCTGGGCCTCCGTTGTATTGCGAGAGGCCGGAGTGGGCAGATGTCACACCAATACCACAGTACGAAGGTGTGAGCAGCCCAATCGCACCCATCTTCTACACACCTGATTGTGAGTGTCCTATTGAGATATGTGGAGCTCTCGAATAGTCTAATGACGACCTTTACCAGACAAGGACGCTACGGACTACTTTCGAGGCATTGTAAAGACGGGAGAGACGAGCGAGCGTGTGCTTGAGCTTACGGAGGATATTATCAGGATGAACCCCGCTCACTACTCTGCCTGGTCAGTCGTAATTGGATATACGTCATCCAGGTCTCACGGGGCTTCGCATGCAGGCAGTACCGATATCGCACCCTTCTTGCTTTGAATGCCCCTCTCGACGCTGAGCTACGTCTCATGGATGACTTTGCGGTCAATAACCTGAAGACCTACCAAGTCTGGCACCACCGCCGACTACTCATCACACACCTCACGGTAAGCACGCCGGGCGCGAAGCCCACTGCGGACCCGTTGGACACTGCGCAGGCCGAGCTTGAGTTTATCGTACACGTGCTTGACGTCGATACGAAGAACTACCACACATGGAGCTACCGCCAATGGCTGCTCGCGCACTTTGACGACTCTGCACTCTGGCTTGGCGAGCTACCGTACGTGGATGAGCTCCTTCAGGCGGACGTACGGAACAATTCGGCGTGGCACCACCGATACTTCGTCGTTTTTGGGCGCGGGTCGAAGGCACAGGCTACGCCGGCGGAGGAGGCGGAGGTGCTGCAGAGAGAGATCAGGTGCGCGATGTTCTATTCTACCTTTTATGCTTGCTTCAGCTTGGAATATAGATACGTGAAGGGCAAGATCTCGTTCGCCCCGAATAATATCTCCGCATGGAACTACCTGCGCGGCATCCTGGAGTACAGCAAGACACCGTTCAGCTCGCAAGCTGTCTTCGCAGAATCTTACACCGTTCGTCGAGCACCCTGGGACGACGAAGACGTTGTGGACTTGGACAATCCGAAGCCTTCAACAGACGCAGACCTCCCCTCCGTGTCTGCCATGGACTTCCTGGCGGAGGCGTACGCGCGGGAAGGTGGTGATTCCATTACGAAAGCGGTAGATCTGTGGAAAGCACTGGCCAACCAGCACGATACCATGAGGAAGAAGTACGTGAAGTTAATGCTTGTACACCCACCTGACTGACGATTAATAGGTATTGGGAGTTCCGTATTAAAGAGAGTCTAGAAACGAAGAGTGGTTGAGGGCAACGCCCATTAATTATCCTTTCCAAGATGATCCCCCAGATCTAAAGCGGAATTCTACCCCTTCCACTGTACTTTAGCAAGCCCAACGAGATAAATCAATCATTTCCACCCTTCGCCCTCCAGTTTGGACACTTCTAGCCACTCGACGGGATGAGACATCCGTTCCCCCAGGTTCCACGTTGAGACTTAGAACCCTATGGGTGTATTCTTCAGCTTTTTAACATGCCATAAATAGCTCTATATTTCGATTTCGCCTAGAAGTAAGTCTCTAACTGTGTACGGCGAGCACGGACACTGCATCATGCTCCCATAGTGGGGTCTCAGTGGGCCAAGTGCATTCGACCTCTCCAGCCTCTCAACCTTCGCGAACAACGGCAACATCGCGTTGACCTGTTCAATGTCCGGGCTTCCCTCGAAGTCCAAGTAAGCCGCGTCCTCCATGACACGTGCGGTCGGGAACGCGCCAGAGACGAAAGCAGCAAAGTGCGCAGGATTGCCGATCTCTGAGTCACCGACGGCCAGCCTCTTCAGCATGGAGGTTGATTGACCTAGACACGGACGTCTCGAGAGTGATTGCGGGCCCATGTCGTTGGTGAGCAGTACTCCAAGGAAGCGGTGGTGATCGGGAGGAGGTCTTCAACCTTCAGTATAGGCGGCATGATGCTGCAGTTCTGTCCGAGCTCTAGCTGATGGATATTCGGCCACTAGCGATGATCTGCCCAAATCGAGAGACGTGATAGCCTGTAGACGCAGGAGCGGTGTGAGCGTGTCTGTATCGAATACAAGAGCAGCCGAATTAATGTGCTGGCCGATAGCTGAGAGGTAAACGCGCTTGGAGCGGGTGAACCGGGAGAGTGCCTCTGTGACCCTATTGATGTACCACGCTGGCGACGGTTCATAGTCCTTTGCGCGCAGCTTGTCCGGATTCTCACCGTCCAAACCGAAGGTGACATGAATGGCCTCGAGGCAAGTTGAGCAGATAGTATCCAAGAATGTGAGAAGGGCTTTGTCAGAGGTAGCCGATGCGCCTATGTGCAGCTTTTTGAGTGCAGAAAACGGAACAATGTCCACTTCGGAGCCAAATGGGACACGGCAATCGGTGCTCACGTCCAGAAAGAACTCGATCTCCTTCAAAATGGGCAACGACGCGAGATGCTGGATGGTTCCGGGAAATAGCGGCCTTGCACGAACAACCGTAAGCTGTTTGAGGTGAATTAAAACTCTGTTGACCTGCAATCTGACTGCCTCGTGATCCATCATCATGAGCTTGTCCTCTTCGTAACACAAACGTTTGGGCGACGGGCAGTTGATTAGCGCGTCCAAGAAAGCCGTGGCCTCGTTTTCCTCGTCAAAATGTATCACAGATGCCTCTTCCAGGGTAGGCGGGACAAGCTTCTCCCATGCTTCGTAGAGGTATGCACCTTCATGGCTCGCGGAGGTTCGGTAGTAGGTGGGGGCCAGGGTAGATCTCGCAGAGCTCCCGGAGGGTATCTTCGTGTACGCGATATGGTGCATCATAGAGCTCCAAACGGCGTACACATTTAGCATGGTGGCGGAAGCGGTCCCAATCCCCGTCCCCTGGGATTTCTGTAATCGTCTGCATGGTGTTGCAAATAAACACCAGACATGTTATGTAGCAACAGGTTGACGTACCAAAACCTCGTATTTTACGCGTTTCAGCGCATAGGAGGGCAGAATGAGCAGCAGTGGCTCGATATCCTTGTCCAGATCCCCCCACAATGTGTCCATCGCGGACTCGTAGAAACTGCGGCACGTAAGGTCCAGGTTCAATTGCACTGCATGCATTGACCCAACACGGAAGGAGGTAATGATACGAATTATCTCCTCGATATGCAAGCAGCGGTGCATTTCGGACGAAAGTGGAGAACGGAGGTGGATGTAGCCCCGGAGGTCGAAGGACTTAACGTTAAACATATTAAACGTTCGCGCGTTAACGGCAAACGCCGAATGCTGTTATTGACCAGTGGCAATATTCTGAGCCTTAGCATCTCTCGTTCGACGGGCATGAGCCAGCGAAAATTTTCTCGAGTGTCATAATGAGTTGGATAGCATAGTGATATGTGTAGCGACAATTGCAATGTTTCTGCTCGACCAAGGGAGGGTAGAATCTAATTGTAAACACGACCATCGGCATGCGCCACTCAAGCGTGGAATTTGAAGCTACTTACAAGTTCGTTCTCGTGCGGCTGCCAATAGCTCGCTGAATTTTGAGCTGACCCTAAATTTAACTGGATATTGAACGATATATTCACAGACGTTATACCCCATTGCAACTTGGAATACTAGAGAATCAAACGCACTCGAACTGTCCAGCTTTTCGACTTGCATGCCCAATCTGTCGCAGTATGATCTCGTTGATTTGAGCTATCGCAAGACTACCCTCGTTGTCCGAGCGTGTCACACACTTCACGGCGCGCGGGGTCGGGAACGCTCTGAGCACGAAGGCGACCAGGTAGGCGAACTGGTTGATTTCTGATTTGCTCATAGCTGGTCCCTTTTGCGTAGAGGCCGAACGGGGTCGTTGCAAGAACGACTGCAGACCCATTTCGCCGCTAAGATAGTCCTATGATCTCAAGTATGGGACAAGCGGTGATGAAAGGCAGAAGGTCTTCAGCCTTCGTAAGTGGGGCAGTGACATCGCATGGCTCGAGGTGACGCGTGTTCGGCCGCTCGGACACGTCGAAGCTCAGAGCCGCCGGACATGCGTCAAGATCGAGAGCCGTGATAGCCTGGAGGCGGAGGAGCGGAGCCAGCAAGTCTGCGCTGGGCACAAAAGCGTATGTGCCAATCTTGTATCTACATGTGGATCTGTTTGAGGCGGTGATTGGAGCGAGTGCCTCTATGACCTTGTTAATGTACCGTGCCCGCGCCAGTTCAATGGCGTTTGCGTACGATTCTTCCCGGAGCTCGTCGTCCAGACCGGAGGCAATGTTGACGGTGCTCAGCGGATAGGATCCAAGAAGGAAAGGAGAGACTTGCCTGAAGCAGTCGGTGCGTTCAGATTGAGTTCAGAGAACGGGGTAACCCCTACTTCGGAATCAGCTGAGCAGATACATTAGTCGGTGCCTGCATCTAAAACGAGCTCAACTTCCTCCAGAGTACGGAAGGGCGCCAGGTGTTAGATGGTTCTGGGAAACATCGGCCCTACGCGGACAACCATGAGCTTCTCAAGGTGGTCTAAAACTTTGTTGAGCTGCCAGCATCTGTGCCACCTTGTAGTCTGACGGTACGAGGTTCCCCCTTCGGCAATAAGTGGAGATATTTCAGCGACAGGCAGTGGAGTAGCGCGTCGAGGAAGGCCGTGACGTTGCATTCGGCTAGGTTGATCATGTACCCATCTTCCGGGGTAGGTGACATAAGCTTCCTCCAGATGTCACGGAGATATGGGCCGTCGCAGCACGAGAGTTCGCGAAGACTAGGTAGAGGATATGGGCCAGGGTAGATGTTGCAGAGCTTCCGGAGGATACTGTCTTTGTCGCGATGTTAGCCCGTCGCGTGGATGTTCGGTAAGTGCACACGTCTAGCATGGTGGCAGAGGCATTCCCACTCGTCTTCTCGTGGCGCTCCCGTGATGATCTGCATGAGGCCGTAAATGAACTTTAGACACGTCGACTTACAAGGCTGTGACGTACCAATCCGTCATATTGATCGCATTGTAACACGTACGAGGGAAGCAGGGGCAGCAACGGTTCAATATCCGGGTCCAACCTGTTCCACATCGTGTCCATCGCGGGCTCGTAGAGGCTGCAGCACGTAAGGCGAGATTCAATCGAATCGCGTGCGTCAGCCAGTTATGGATGGAGGCAACGACTGACATGGATTATTTCCTCGACACGCAAGCACGGCTACATCTCAACGAATCCACAGCAGCACGGAACTGAAAGCCTGAAAGCTTAGAGCTGAGTATGATCGGACATCTCGAGTTGAACGTCGCGCCTCTCGCGCGCAACGGCATGAGCCGAAGGCAGCTGATAAGCGCCAGGCCTTCCGCCTCAGGCTACCGTTCCTCGCTAGTTCTGTCGAATGGGCCAAGAGAAGCTGCCTTGGAGTTCATACTGAGCCAAAGGGATGCTATCACACGTGCAGAAAATATGTTTTAATCAGCACTGTAAAGTTTACCGGCCGAAAAAGAGGAGGCTATAGCTGCAGGCCCAGTGCTCGCCGTAGTGCACCGCTGGAAAGCGCTATCGTGCGATATCCGAAATGTCGGAGATGAGCAGATGCATTTTACGCCACGATACACGATTCCCGTGTCTTTCGAGACGCCTAGCGATCTCAAACACTTATATTGATCTTTCAGTACCTAACATACACTGAAGTCCGTAACTTATGTGTCGAACTGCGTCTAATATCATTCGCTTCACGACCATTATCGGCTCCAGCAGACAGCCCACAGAAGATTTAACGACAAATACTCGGACCTTCCGAAACGTACGCCACCACTTTGAAAAGCGCCTATCCCGCCGCTGCGCTTGCGGGCTTAGAGACGCCACTCTAACTGCGGCTATTTTCGCTCCTCGGAGTCGGCGGGTAACGGCTCGACGGCGCCGGGGGCGAGTCTGAAGCTTATTGTAATTAGTCCGCTTCGCTTCGTGCGCCATTCAGATGATCACGGATGATGAAAGCCACCACAATTGCATTGGGACATGAGCGTTACGCAGCGTAGTGACAGCACAAGCCTACATATTGATAGAACAATGAAGGAGATCGTTTGGAGGTAAGTGACGGCGACGACCATGCCCGCTACAATAATGCAGGAGCTAGGTTGCGTATACTTCCCAGGATCTACTAAGCGAGGGATCTTCGTCTGCGCTCACAGTGGACCATTGAAACGGAAGAAGCCGACAGGGCCAGATCCCGTGTCGATTGAAGTGGCAAACGAGCCGCCATAAGGGAGAAGGAAGATACATCTTACGTCCGGGGGTAAGTTCGATGCAGGAGCAGGTGGCGCGTTGGGACCCCTACCCGAAGCGCAGGAAGATTGAGGGAAGACCTTACGGCACAGCATGAGCTAGCCCTGTCCCGGACATGAAATCGATGGAAGCGTGCAAATGCAGGCGACGAGGGCATGTATCAAGGTCGATCACTTGTCGTGGGAGCAGGGACCTAGCGATCGCACCGTCGAGCGGATACGGTGCAGGACGGGGCCAGAGGTCGATCGAATGGGACGGCTGCGACCGTTCTGCTGGCAGAGAACAATCGAGGCGTGCGTCGCGGCTCAGAGAACGGCGGTAGAATTCGCTCGCGGGGCAGACAACCGCGGTTCCGTTCGGTTCCTGTGTAGCCCAGGGCCGGAAGGCTGCGGTCGGATGGGACGCGAGAGCAGGCCGAGTGTAAGGGGGTATCGTCGTGCGTGCTGTGCAGCTGGATGCACTGCGCATGTCGTCACTCGAGCCGCAGATCCCTAAGATAGGAATGGGTCCGTTCCCGTGGGCATTTCGGACGCATTCGAAGGTGTCTCAGGTCGTTGGCGGGCTGGACAGCTCGGAGGGTGGGAAGGAGGAACGGTTGGCAGTTGCGTGATGGGCTCGCGGGCATTTGTTGCGGGGGCGCTCCGCTGGCGGTGCACTTGTTATCTCTGGGAGAGCGACGGCACAGATGGTAGCCGGTGGATCAAAAAAGCGGTGGACAATCCTGATCAGGCTGGTCGCGGAATACGAGCTGTAGCTAGTTGTGATAGGCGGATAGCCGTGGCGCGAGGAGAGCACATGAGGTGCTTACGAGAACAAAGCGGAGACGAAGGAGCGCTCTGGAACAGACCCCGTGGCAACCTTTTATCAAACTTTGCGGCGAGTTGCATTGCGATGCGTGTGAGCCAGGACAGCAAGTTTTGGTGTCGGTTGAAAAAAGCCGAGGTGCTTGGAGATTGAATGGCAACTAGGAAACATGGGGTGAGGAAGGAATATCGGAAACTTCGTGCCATGCAACAGCCACAGCGATGTGTACGACAATCAAAAGTTTCCGAGCAGGGCGTACTATGTGTAGGTCATTCAAAGCACGTCGTCTGCCTGAAATCGGAAGAGGGATCGCGGCCACGAGGCGATGCAAAAGCGAGAGAGCAGAAAAGCAGCCGTTTAGCGGAACGGAGTGAGTGCGGCCAAAGTGCCGAGCAATTTGACAGGCGGCTATCCTAACTAGCATAATCGGTCACCTGTAAAGCCAGATACCCGGTTATAGCAAGTCGCTTCTGATCGGGAGTAGCCCAGAGCTTGAGGGACGGCCCAGACAGGGGCTACTGACCGGAGCCCGCAATTGTTCAGCGCAGGATTTCTGGTTTCTGTCTGGCTACGTTGAGCAGGCCGTGACGGTAAGAAATGCAACGTGGTTGTGGATGGTAGGCTTGACCGAGAAATGGTGTGTCGAGGGGTATTGTTTGCAGGAGGATACGGCGCAGAAGTGGTGCGGTCGGCCGGCGGTCGGGTAAAGTCACGGCAAAGTTTGAAGCGGAGCTTGAAACCGTCAGACTGATAGGAAAGGGGTCACGAAAGCGAACGATTTGCACTTCCCACATTTCAACTCGCCAGCCTCGTTCATCGTCCTCAACGTCCCCCGCCTCCCGCCCGCAACACTCTCCGCCGCCGTTCCGGCTTCAACATCACCTTCAACACTCCCGACGTCTCTCGACAACAATGTTGGCTATCCAGAAGCCAGTTGCTCTTTTTTCGTCACCCCAAGCGCATTTGCCGCGGTCGACTCATAGTCGGCATCCTTCAGCGCCGGTCGTCATCCGCCCGACGCAAACGCCCGGGTTGCTCTCTCTCTCCAAACCTGCTCAGCAACATCTGCCGCGGCCACAGCAGTCGCAGCCGCATGTCAGAGCATCTAGAACATCAACTAGGGGCAAGCAACAGCGCTCCCCTCAGCCGGTGCCAGCGCAGGCGCAGTCTGCTGAGGATGGAAAGAAGGCTAAAGCATCCAAGCCGAGCTCTGCCAACCCTCCTAACGATTCGAGCAAGCCCAATGTCCCGTCGCTGGAGAAGTCGACCAGGGGTCGTCGATCCGCTAAGGTAGTCCCGAAAGAGAAGGCCGACCAGAGGTGAGCAGTTGTCGCTGTCGATTGTCCAGTTGTGGGCTGATCGACTTGGTCTACGTTAAGAAGCCCCTCGGCTTCTCGGGCGCACGCGCGGCGACAATCTCACCAGCCATCCCCACCCCCCGCTAAGACACCCAGCGAGAGTGATCCGTCTCGTCCTTCCGTGAACCCCTTGCGGGCCCAGTCATTCGAGCGTCAAAGTGCTTCGAACTTATTCGATCCTTTCGTCGTGAACTCGACCTCGGATAACGAATCTCCGGAGCCTGCGGTTTCGAAGGATAGCGCTAAGCCGATCTCCTTCCGCCCACCACCACAGCTTGCCTCTCGCCCGAATGGCAAGCTTGCTCATCGTCGTCAGTCAGGCCAAGTTCATGACTTTCCGATGTCCTCGCAAGCCATACCTGTCGCTCGCACTCACGGATCTCGCAACTCTGCGAACTTGTCGAGGTCGACCCCCAACCCCACCCCCGTTACCCCTCCACGTCGTGCCGCCCGACGTGCAGCGATGGAATTACCCCTCGCTCAGTGGGGCGAGTTCCCGATTTGCGACGACATGACTGTCAGCTCTCCGACTACGCCCGTCCGCGAAAGCGCCAGCTGTCCATCAAAGCGTTTGGGCGCTACTTGGCAGCAAACTCTTATCGATGACGCCCCTCGCACAGCCCCTTTGTCCTCAACCTACGAGTATCCTTTTGCACAGCCAGCTTTTGTTACGCCTTCGCCTGCGGCTCGCCGCCGCCATCACCAGCGAGTACCCAGCGATGGTGTTTTCGCGATGTCGACGGACGACGATTCGTCGGAATCTTCCGATGAGCTGAAGAATGTGCTGAGCAGGCTTGCTCTCGGTGGCGCTGCCATGGTCGACGCGAGGCGAACTCCGTCGCCGTCCATGATGGACGGCATGCCCGCAGGTTTCTATGCGGGGTCGGTTTTCCAAAACTCTCCGAGCCCGGAGGAGCTGCCGGTTCCCGCCTTCCGCCCGTGAATGTATTATCAAAGTGTAAAACTCCTCAAGTGTACAGGTTAGTTGCCCCTGTTATTTTCAGTACGATGCTAATGATAGTCTGTTTACAGTTCAGGTTATCCGGCCCTATAGATGCTCTCATTTACCGTTACATGTCTGCTAATACCCCGCCACGATCCTAAGCCGTCGCGTTGCTCACGATCGCAACATCCTACCCCGCCTGCATTGGTCGGCCTGCCCGCAATGGGCTCCCTGGCTGATCTACCATCTCTACCACCTCCCTCGGCGCCTGGCATTATCGTTGTCGGGACCGTACGGCTATGGGCTTCCCGCGTACTCTGGACTTACATTTGGTGTTTTTCTTCCCACTCGGTCATCCCGGTCTACGGTCATTCGCTCAGGAAACTCTCGCACTCGTTTTCGATACCCCGCCTAACCGCTGGGTTCGGTTTAGCCTTCGTCGCGGTATTCATACCCCCGTTGTCGATGGCTTTGGTCGCCCTGTTGTCTCGTGCACCCGCTCCTTACGGGCCGGGCCCTCTCACGAACATGTCGACCGCTGGTTCCGGTTTCTGTTTATCAAATCTTCCGCCTATTTCCTCGGCTCATATTTGGCTCCTCGTTTACTCTACAGCAAGTGTGTCATTATACATCAAGCCAACATCCAGCTCTCGCACATCTCTCCCGCACTCTTCGCATCTGCATGTCCTCTCCCCACCCACGCGCAGGCCTACATCCATCCTATTTACCTACTCGATCCGCTTGATATTCCCGGCATGCGCGCGGCGTTGTACAATCAAGACCTATAGAGCTCAAGAGAAAATACACAAGCAAGAGCGATTGCCATATTTATCAACAACCGGACGCGGTCGAGGAGGAGGTAGCGGCGCGTCGTGGTCTATTATCTGTGGTCTCCTCGTTTGTCTTGGCTGGTGGGCATCGCATGTGCTCTTGGATTTTGGGACTCTGTTCAATCATACCAATCCCTTTACGGTGTGTTCCGTACGTCTGTTGTTCTAATTTCCCACTTCCTCGCTCGGTGCTCCTCCACTGCCTTGCCTGAGCTTCCCTTGTTCGTTTTCGTATCACATCATTTTACCATCTTTCTTCTTCTACGCCATTTGCCTTATTGTTCCTGTTTCACTCCTGGCAATCGCCTGCGGTGTATCAATATAGCCAACTTTACTCACGACGCCGTTCACCCTTCCTCTGTCTTGATATTGCTCCCTCCTAGCGTTGTTCTTGTGCACTAGTATTCTTAGTTCCTGTCGTAGCAGAAAAGCTACCTTATTTGCTCCTAGATTTCTCCTTAACCCCCGCTCCCTTCTCTTCCGCTGTTGTAAAGTCCATGTGTCGGGTAGACGATGTTGGTGAGCATTCTCACTCGTCTTTCCTGTCGCAAACTAATGCCTCCGCGGCGCCAGTCCATTTCCCTATCGTCCTATTGAGCTCCACTGCGGCTCTGCTGACGCCATTGGCTCGGCTTACTCGCCAGTAGCGACACTCGTCTTCAGCGGACCCGTCATCTTGTGGGTCGCCCACGCTCGTTACCCGACCGTCTTCCGGCTCGTCTTCAACCGTGGAACTGCTTTGTTCCTCTCTCTCTTGGGTCTCTTTCAGCTTCTTCGATCATTTTATCAACATGCGTCAAGAGACGTCCGTCTGTACCAGCACCACATGTCCCTCCCCTCGCAGTCAACACGCAAAAGCTCTGTTCAAACTATAATACCTCTTGTATCGTCGCCATCGCTTTCGCTTCACTCGCCACTCGCACTGTACCATTACCTCGCGTCTTGTCGCTCTCGCATTCACTCCTCGTTTTCTTCCTATCGTATCGTCGACAATCGACTACACGTATCCCACGACTATTTCGGCCTGTCTTGTTCGACCTTGGAACGGCGCGTAGCGCGGACTAGGCGGGCAGCGTTTGTTTGTTGTTCGGTGGTCCGTTGTTAGGGACCGGTGGTGTTTCATTTGCGATCTCGTGTGGTGTGGGTGTGGGGAGCGGGCGTTCGGCGAGGGGTGGTGAAGGCGTGGTGTCTTTCGGTTGCGAATTCTTTACTTACTCAAAAGGATGGACGCTAGCCCTTCTTTGTACGATGTCTTCGAGAGTATAGTGGGGTTACTGGCCTGTGAAGAGTAGTTGAATGACAATCTGATCATGACATCGATGGTGCTGTGTTGGTCTTGAGCTGTTAGTGGTCAGCGCTGTGACGCCTCGACACGCACCGGTGCTCTACCGGTGCTGAAGAGGGCGCTTCTCGATAATATCACAGCCATCCTTCGAGAATATACGGCCACCAGCCCATCATTTGACTAAAGAGTAGGCTGGCTTGACCTTGCCCTTCCTTTGGCTTGGAGATAACAATTTCAAACTGAACAAGAACAGCAAGACGACAATTGCTGCGACTGGGTTGCTTCATTAAACTTACGGTGTACGGCGGACAACTAGTTGCCATGCCTTTAACAGCAACAATACAACAGCGACAGCTCTACTCGTTTCCGTTGACAGCAAGGAAACACACTGACATTTAGCTCTCTGAACACCCATATCGTGGCGGAGCATGCGGAGCTGGTATGCATGCTGAGCTGGTATGCATGCTACTTGAACCAGTCCCGGCACATGCGCTTCCTGCGTTGAATGTCATACCAGCCGGACACATACAACTCGGACTCTGAGGAGGACGAAAGCTTAGGTCCGGAAGGCTGCACGCTGAGCGTCAGCGAGTGGTGTCTTCTGCTCGCCTAGGTGTCCCGAAACTTGCGCAAGCTGACCATGGGGTCGCGGGTAGTGGATTCAATCCTGTGTCCGGCCCCTTTTTCTGAAGTTTCTGGCGTACCCAGGCTCTCCACATACCACGCTCGCGGCCGTAGCTCAGGCGTGACCGATTCTGGAAGAGCTCTGGACGCTCCCAAACCAGGTTGACGCATCGGCAAGAACATAGCTTTACCCGCGCTATTACTTCGTTTTGTTTAGCTGCGCGATACGGAGGGTGGCGATGAGGAGCTGTCGTCTAGAACTGTGAGCGAAATTAACGCTCTGATACTCCAATATGTGAGACTGAGAGCGGAACTACATTTGTTTTTGGGCCTTCGTCATGTCCCAAGTACGGGTATTCCTCCGTAATTTATGATTTCTACACCCTATCAGTCTCCACACTTCGTCCAGCTCATCCCAGCAGCGTTTTAGTTCCTATTCCGAAATAGAAACAGAACTTTCCCCCTCTTCCACTCTCTTCGTCAACATTGACTGACTTGTTTTCCGGGACGCAGAAGCGCGAGAAGTGGAAGGTCCGCACCGTCAATAATGCGGGGATTGAACGCAAAATAGTTGGGAAGGACTCGTTTGAGATACGTCCATTTCGTCGCTCCCGGGTGGGGACTACGGGAGAATCAACTAAACATCTTGGGCTCAGATTAGGAACGAACGGTCACCAAGAGTACTTCTCGGCGTCGATTGCAGCATCACATGCATCACATGCAGCATCATGTGTCATGCATGGTGCCAAGAAGGTCTGTAGTACCTGACCGCGCTGCAGTTACGCAGCTGGAAACGGTGTCGCCGCACGTCTTCTGCACGTAAGGCGCGCGGGAACGCGAAGTATGCGAACTTTCCACCATCTCCATGCCTACAGAAACAATACAATTAGTAATCTGAAGAATTAACTTCCTATTGCTGACGACGCATCGAAGGCTAGTAAACGCAAGCTGAGCTCACGAAGATATTCCAGACGGGATCAACCAAGACTCCAATGTGGAAGAAGTTCAGTCACTACGACTGGCTAGAATTGAATACATACGAGCGGAACAATATCGTCAGACGCGCCCTTCACGTGTGGCGGATGAAGCCCTGTTGTATCACACAATTATCACAATATTTTCGGCACGAGACCTCTGTCCTCCCCCATGCATAGCCTCGTTCACTTTCCAATGCTTGCATACGGGATTAGAGGGAAAGACAGACAGCACAAGAAGGGTTAAGGACAATGTCACAATGGGCATGACCCATGGACCATTGTGGTCGGGTCCCGGTAAATGATCCTGTGGCTCTGGGGATATTAGTTCTGTAGTGTTGAACAGTGTGGGTAGGTATCAAAATATTGCTACCTCAATCAAGAGTACCTTGAATAATTATTGCCTGCATGAACCTGTCCAGCTCCATGAAAGCAAACGCAAGCCGGATGTCGTGAAGAGAGTCTAAAGGACAAAAGTTGTGGCGACTCATCACGTGGCTGATGATCGCGTGTATGCGCGGCAATTGTTTCGCGTATTTACTGCCTAATTATCGTCTGTTTCCTGCCAAACTTCTTCTTCTCTCCCCTACTGAAACCCCCACCTATCTCAACTCTTCTTCAGGAGACGGCTACCTGATACGCTCTAGGGCGGCATACAACACAACATGACGATGGACATCGACGAAGAGCCTCTGACTCCCGAGCTCATGCTCACGTTCTACAGGCGACTCTACCCCTTCAAGTCCATCTTCCACTGGCTCAACCACGAACACACGCCCACGAAGCTCTTTATGAACCGCGAGTTCGCGTTTACACTTCAGGGTGACGTGTACCTGCGGTACCAGTCGTTCACAACCGCGGACGAGCTGAAGAAACAGGTGTGCGCGATGAACCCGACGCGTTTTGAGATTGGGCCGATGTATACCGCACGAGTGAGTAGCTTTTTTCTGATACTTAGCCGAAACTAACGTCTCGTAGCCAAGAGACAAGAAGCTCGCGCGTCCGGGCGCGTTCCAACCCGTCATGCGCGAACTCGTCTTCGATATTGATATGACAGACTACGACTCGATCCGCACCTGCTGCTCGGACGCGTCGATATGCTCTCGGTGTTGGGCCTTCATTGCTGTAGCAGTCAAGGTCCTCGACCAGTCTATCCGCAACAACTTTGGCTACAAGTACCTCCTGTGGGTCTACTCCGGTCGACGAGGTATCCACCTGTGGATTAGCGACAGGGAAGCGATGGAGCTCACAGACGAACAGCGAAAAGCACTCGTTGGCTGGATGACAGTTATTCAGGGAGGCAAGGATCAGCACAAGAAAGTCAATTTACGACTAAGCTTGAGGCAGCTGCCACCATCAATACTGTGCGTCCTCCCCACTTATGAATAACATGTTCCCTGATATCGCGTAGAGACTCGCTAGAAGTCCTAGTTCCAGCCTTTACCGATATCATATTGGACGACCAGGATTGCTTCCGGTCTGAAGAGGGGTGGCGCGAGCTGTTACACCTCATACCGAAGAATTACGTGGAATCCCTCGAAGATAAGTGGGAGAAAGACTACGATCGTTCGTCGCATAGCAAATGGGAAGACGTCAAGAATGAGATCAAGACTAAGACTCAGAAAGGGTCTCAACCACGCGTGCGTTCCACTTGATTTTGTCATAGACTTCGCTAACAGACACCACAGCTGACTGGTACCACCGCGATGGAAGACATCATCTTGCAGTATACGTATCCGCGCATCGATGCTGAAGTTTCAAAGCACCGGAATCACTTGCTGAAGGCGCCTTTCTGCGTACATCCGAAGACAGGTCGGGTCTGCGTGCCCGTCGACCCGAGCACCATAGACGACTTCAACCCTGAACGAGTGCCTACGGTAGGGCAGCTCCTGCGAGAGTTGGACCAGGCTAAAGACACCGGCGACGAGCATCACTCAGGTTAGTGCACATTGATCACTATCACGATGCGGCCGATGAAAACAAGCTGCGAACAGATTGGGAGAAGACGTCGCTGAAGCCTTACGTTGAAATGCTAGACAAGCATGCTCTGGAGCTGATGGAGGAGGTCAGAAGGGTTAAGCGAGAACGCGGCCAAGGTGTGCATTTAATTCGGCGTCATGGGTTGCACGCGCTGACAGGCCGTTTCTCAGACACGTCGTGGTAGATTGGCTGAATCTTATCCTTTCTCAGCTGTTGTGTGTATCGCTAGTATGTTTTCTTCACCTCGTGCACGACAATTGACTTGGCATGGATACCCTCTGTATCGTCTCCAAGCCCGCCTGGTATTTTGCGCGAATAGGAGCAATGTATATTGTATCCGAGTACAAGGGTGTCCTTGTGCGTAATGGGAAACCGGCCACCCGCATCTCGTCCGCCGTCAGCTGGCTGCGAGATAGTACCACGCTGAAGACGCCCATATACAAGGGGGCTGCCTAATGCATCCAGCGCCATTCGGGCAACGACTTCCACATCGGCCCACGAAGTTGGAAGTTTGGAAGGCTATCACCGTACAAGAACTGTCGCAGCCTCAATGATGCAGGCATCTCTTTATCTCGGTTCTCAACTCTCACCCCCTGCACACTGTCGCCCTCGACGTCGAGGCCCACGAAAGGTCCCCAGCTGAGGGATGGCGAACCCATCGACCTTGATACGCTTCCCCTCGGTCGCGACGCGAGTGTCTGATGCTGGCGCATCGTCCTCGACCGGGGCGTCCGTGACAACAGTAACAGTACACTCGACAGCATCGAACAGCCCCTTCAGCACCAGCAATGACAGCCTGCACAGGATCTCAACGATTATGCCCGCGTTCCTCATCGGCTTCGTGTGCTTCCTCGCGATCTTTCTCGCGTGCGGCATGTACCACTCGCGCCGCCGCCGCCGCCTGCTGCTCATGCAGAGCTTCGCTTTCCCGAATGAGATCGCACCCTCGGACTTGCGTGAGATCAGGAGCATGTCGCGGAAAAAGAAGAAGCGCCTCGTGAAGCCCGAGCTGTTTGAGGTCGAGGTCCAGGGGACGCAGTGGGATACGGACCTTGAGGCTTTACTTGTGAGCGCTGGATATCTAAAGGTGGGAGGACGCAACTGATGAAGTTGCAATGCAGCCTGTCGCAGCTGAGCTGCCACGAGGATCTGGTTCATCACGACCGACATCACTAGTAGTAGTTCCACAGGAACGAAGTCGGAGGCCATGGTACGTACTTTCTCCACCGTATCTCAAACCTTCCTGAATTATATTTGGTCAGGTACATTCCGACATTTTTATTTACTCACCGGCCCCAGCCCCCGACGCCAACAAACCTTCCGGGAGAGAATACGCAAGTAATGCAGCAAGCGCAGCTAGCTTTCTTGCTATCTATGCCCGCGCCGCATCTCGTGCCTGGACAGCCTGCCCCAGAGCTGGTCCTTGGCACGACGCGGGTCTCGTACCGCGGCGAGCCGGATGGTGACGACGAGGCGGAGGACCTGCTGAGGAAGATCGACTGGACCGCGTAGCATGCGGCGTCTGGACGGCGGTGGAGAAAAGAGGCTTGTACTGCGTTTTTAAGCCCTAGCGTCATGCAGTGACGGGTGTATCATAGAGGTTGGTTAGTGCGGCCCTCCGAGAGGGCCGCTGTAATGTCTGGACACTGCGTCTACTGTAGCCATACTATACCATTGTAATTATCTGTGCTATTAGAAACCAACTCAAACCTCTTCGTTTTCGACCGTTAGACATACTTATATATATCCCCGTCTAGTTCGCAATGTGGTTCCGAAACAGATCGACGTCTCTGTCGGCCCCGGCGGCGTTCCGAGGGCGCATCAAATGTTTGGGTCATGTCAGGACACCGCCTTGACGCTGACGTAAGCGTACTACAGACCTGATTTGGCACTCTTGCCGTACGAGGAGTGGACGCCTTCACCGCCTTGTCTCAGCTCTATAGCAACTATTCTCATCACACATCTACGCAAAGCTGCAGACTTGAAGTCTCCCAACTCTCATCTTGGCAGAAGATGTCTACGGGGCTTACACGGTGCACAGTTTGAGTTGGCCAGGTATATACTGCTGAGCTCTGGATCTACACAGACTGACGTATCTATGGCAGTGTCGCTCTTTCTCACCTTGACCGTGATGGAAGCAGCCTCTCATACACCACGCGTGAACTCAATCACGTCGCAGCCAAGTATTGTCCACGGCGGGCGCGTCAGGGGGCGGACGCTACGCTTCGAGGCGTTTCAGATCAAGTTGGAGCGTTGGATCGCCCCAGTCGACGCATCCGCTGGGACAATTCTTGCGGCGCTCACACAAGAACGCAACCCTCCATTGCCGGCGGCGGTGCGCGAGTTAAAAGTAGCTGTGATGGCCTGCCCACGGGGGCGTTACGAGGGCCCTCCTCTCCTTTTGCAGCTCTTCCCGTGGCAGTGACAACTTTGACGGGCATTATCTCTGCTCTCTTGCTCACGCACCACTACTACAACGGGCCTCTCCCTATCTGCGACACACCCTGCCCGCGATGTCCTCACTTTTGACGTCGCTCCTCTCGGCCACGCCGACTGACGCGTCGCCCTCGAGCACCACCAGCTCAGGCTCCACGGCAACCCCGACATCTCTCAACCACTCTACAGTGACCATCGTCGCCACGATAGTCCCTGTAGTCGTTATCATTGCGATAACACTCTGGGCGCTCCTCGCTGTGGGCGGAATCATGCACTACCACAGCACACCCGCCCGGTCGAACGACTCGGATGCACCCGAGATGGACGAGAAGCAGCGGGATGAAGACGAACCGATGATGTGGGAGGTATCTCTCGAGTCTGTGAAGGTGGAAGATTATCATGATGCGCTGCCTGTGAGTTTCTGTTTAGTGTCTCCGGATAGGCGAAGACGTTGACACGAGAACCCCGTAGCCACTAGCACTTGAGCTCCAAGCGCGACGAGCACCATTTTATGCCTCCAGAGGCCATACATCAACCTCGCAAACGAACATCAGTCAGCGGAAGCTGTGGCGGTGGGTGTTTCTCCGTTTCTGACAGCGCCTCGTCTGACGCAAAAACACAGGACGATTACCTCTTCGAGCAGCTTAACTCGAATTGACACGCCGCCAATACATCAGGCGCAAGAGACTGTCGTAGTCGCTATGCCATCACCACCTAGCGTGTCGCCAGAGGCAGAACGCGTAGACTACGCGATAGGGACGCGGCAAGTCCTCTACAAAGGGGAGGTCCAGATAGAGGAAGACGTGAAGAAGGAGAAGCATCAGCGGCAGGGGTCGACAGAAGTCTTCGACTACCCAGTAACGATGGACATGTACATTCACGGGTACATCGGTTGAGCGGACACATTATTTATTCTATTTATTTTGAGGGTAGTTTATTTGCATAGTGTATTTTATTCCACAACTGTATTGTAGCATCGCACTCTAAAGCTGATAATGCGGACATTGGGCTGGTGCAAGTCGCGGCTATACTCCATATGACTTGCCTCGTCTATCTTGCTTTGAATCCGTCGGCACAGTCAAACCAAGCTCTTGTCCAGGCCAGTCTACGACTGTAAGCATTACTTTTGCTTGTGCTTAACGACTCAGTTCTCAACTCTTTGTCACCCAGCGTCATGGACTGTCATGGACAACTCTGCTAACACAGCTATCTCGTGCAAGTGCATAGTTTGCTTCTTATTGCGTTACTGACACTATGCCGATCCCCTCAAGCCTCATGAATTTCTGATCACCGCGCGGTTGATGGGATTAAAATTGTATGGCAGGGACGTGTCACTGACTCACTGTATCCGCCGTGCTCCTTGGCTCGGTACGATGCACATGTTTGCTACTCCACATGGCCATCCTGAAACTTGCGTCGTCCGCTTCTAATGTAAGCCTCGAATTTTTTTGATTATCATGTAAGATCTACAACAGTGCTTCTCACGAGAGTATGTTTCTAGTCCTTTTGAAACTCGTCCACGAGATATCGTTCACCGGAACACGCTGCACAGCTGCGCATTGCTTAGCATTCTCGGCCATAATTCCGCATTGGATTCGTGCAGACCGCAGGTATGCCCTATGACTACGGAGCATGCTCGAGTCTGAGGTGACGCATAGATGACGCCTCGCTGACTTCCATGTATCGGGTTTTATGTCCTGCGCGTGTTTGCAATCTGGGATACGAGCTGCCATAACGTCACTTTACTCAGGCTGCATGATGCCCTTTGTAGCGAACCTGGTGCGTGGCACCCCCGCTCAAACCCTGCGCATGTCCTGGTTGACGCTTTTAGGCAAAATTAATGCGATATAGCGACAAGATACGGTCTCGTCATGGAACTGCTCCCCGACACGACATACATCTCGGAGTTATCGTTCATTGCACGTGGGTGTATGCGTTTTGCTGTTTATCTCTCTCTGGGTACTCATTTGTCGCCGCGCAATCCGCAGCCAGGGCCTGTGTCATGCCAGGAGTACTGATAGCATCAGCTCACAGTCGAGTATACGTATATCCGCAGCTCCCTCGTTCTTGCCGACACGTTGGCCAACATCCTGGCCTGAATCAAGACATTTGGAAGCTTGAACAGCGCCAGCTACATCAACGTCAGGATGACGCTCGCGAAGAACTCGCGAAGGCGGTTCTGCTGACGCATGGCCGTAGCCGAGCGAAGAGTGAGAAACAACACCACCAGGATGAGGGATTATTTACCGTAGATTGGAAGCGGTGTCGATGCGCTCCCGGCAACCCGTCGCTCTGGAACTCCACCCGTTCTACACCGTCAGCCTGAGCGCGTGGTCAGCAGCGGAGCGGTACGCGTATTCACTTTGAAAACGGAAACTTTAAGTGGGCTCATCACCGTCGATAGGTTTGCGCGGGCGTCTCCAACGGCTCCACTGTTGAGGGCGACAAGCGATGCTGAGGAGCGCCGGCTACTGTCGGGCGTCCTTCAAAGGGTAATCGGGATCCGGCAGTCCACGCATAGTTTCAGACCAGTCCAAGTGGGGAAAGTGTCCGGTTGGTGTATTTTTCACTGAGTTTGTGAGCAGGGATCAAGAGCAGAGAGCGGCGGCTGTAACGTTGTTCGATGCGTTACACGTCCGCAGCGGAAGGTATGCCTCGTCCTCTCTCTCACTCTCACGTTGAATATATTCATATGGGCTGACTGTCACTCTCTAGCCTGCCAGCATGCTCACTTTGTCACTTCGGATCGCACCCTGGACTGACCTGTCTCTCCCGCGCCGCGGAGTCGCTGCCTCCGCTTTGATGCAAAACGCTGCGTGCGGCAGTCCCGCAGCCAACGATGGGGGTCGAAAAAAAAAGGTGATTAATCTTCCCAATCCAGAATATCTTCCTCTTCTATGCGGAATTGGTAAGCGCCTTTTCTCTCGCGTCCGTCGAACGTCCGCCGCTCGCGAGCTATCAGAAGCAACAAGTGCGCGAAAGCATTTGTTCACCGGCAGCTATTCAGACACTGTCGATGTCCTCACCACCTTCTTGTTTGTGGGTGGCCCTTAAACCGCATTTTGGTGTAAATCAGAATGGAATAAGACATCCCATTCCAGCTGCCATCTATGAGAATATCGGTAGCCTTCCACCGCCCCAAGGGAGCCGACGTGACAGGCGTTGATAGTTTCAACGTAGACGCAGATGGGTTCGGCGTAGATGTGGCTGAAGGCCCACCAATCTATCGCGCATAAAATCGTGCGAGCCATGATCTACCCCCAATATCAATCGCATCCTTGCAAGTTGCATCCCCTATGTATACTATTGCGGAACAGTCGGACCAGGCTCTTGCCCAAGCTTCTTCGCAACTGTAAGCAATACCTTCGTTCTCACTTAATGACTCAACAGCGCTCATACGCTCGTCCACCAGTCGCCTACAAGAATATGCCCTCATGGCTGCTGAGTGCAAGTATACCCTTCATTTTCCATTGTGCTACTCGCAGCACTTGTCCTCCAGCCCTCGTCGTCTATGAGCTCCTCATCACCATTGGCGATGAGATTAATACTGTATGGAAGAGGCCTGCTACCCTATCTACCGCGCTCCTCGGTTTGGTGCGATGGTCCATGGCGCTCCTCGTGGTCTTCTAGTTTTTCGGGCGACCAGCTCCAAGCGTAAGCCTTAGATGTGATTAATGAAGACGCCAGATCTGAAATGATCCTCTTGTAGGAGTAAGCCCAAACCGTTCAAATTCCGTGCGAAACATGTTGCTTGGCAAACCCACCATACAGCTGCACGCCGCTCAATATCGTCATCTGGGTATTCACCCTCTTTTGGTTCATTCAGATCGCATGTATACCCCACGCAGTCTGTTCTAATTTGGAATGTACATTGACTTCTACCTTTTAGTATCCTCCGCCCTGCGCGTCTCCGCAATCTGAAATAAGAGCTACGTCTGGTCGCTGATAGTGCTATCACTGGCGATAGGACATTCACAGTGGTTTTGGTGTGCCGCTTTCGCTTAAGCTCCAAGCACGCTCTTGCTCATGCTTCGGTGCAGATCTTTGCGGCGGTGTCGAAGTATAGTTCCGCCCCACACCCGCTCGTCGGTACGATGTGCTTCGGGAATCTACCGTTGTCTGCACAAATAGTTAACATGTGAGTGAATATATCTTGCTGTCGCAGTCTCTGGATGCCAACTCTTACGGCACAGATGTATATTCCGCAGCCAAAGCCCTTTGAATTGCTCCAAACTCTGATATAATTTGCTTAGTCTTGCGCATCGCCTGCGGCTCAATGTCCCTCGCCGATATGATTGTCCTCTTTTTGACCTGGATCAAGACGTTTGGACATTGGAGACTCGCCCGGAGCATCAATCTTAGGGTGCCGCTGACGACATGTCTGCTGCGCGATGGTCGGCATTTCTCCATGCACCGTCGCACTCACCGCGTCTGAAACTTAGCCGTGCATGCAGGAACATCTTTTTGTGAGTTCGACGAGAGTGCTGTTTAGATGGCTGCTCACAAGCGATGATAAATGTAGAAGTCTGATAGCGATGAACATAGTTCAGGCGCTGCTGGCCGTTAACTCCTCTGGGTAAGTCGTCAACACGAGCGTACAGACAGATGGCTGAGGTTGCACTTAAGGACCTGATACCCGTGCATATGCTGGTCACGACTCTGGCGCGTATCTTATTCTCCGTTCGTTCTCTTCCTGCTCATTAGCTGGACATGCAACCCCTGGTGCTCATCAATCGCTTCATGATTAATATACGGACGGTCGACTCGGAAGTGTCAGACTACTCTGTGTGCCTCACTGATCGGCAGCAAGCACAGCCATCAGTCCAATTCAGGAGGTCGACGAATCGGCTGGGCAATACTATGGGGACGCTGTATGATGGTTTAAGCAACGAACCTTGGGATGGAGAGGCCAGCTCCGCAGAAATAGATGAGGCAGGATGTTGGGAGGCCATTGGTGCAGAAACATAAACTAACGCCGGGAATCATTCGAGTACTCTCTGCTCCTCGCGGACAGTGGATTGTGATGCATGCGAGCAGGAATCTCTACCCCTGCGACAGTAGTATCGAATACTTGCGGTGTGTTGAGGCGCTTGCCTCCGCATTATTCTGTCTTAGCCATACACTGGATACATCTGCTGCTTACCTCCTAGGTATTTTAACGATGATAAAAGTTACCGAAGGACTGCGCACCATATTTGGCTGCGCGCAGTGCGAGCGTTGCAATTGGGCGGTCAATGACCGAGCCATCCCAGTCACGGCCCGGGTTATTGACTGACAGCTGGTCACTGATGCAGATGGGTCAATGACCGGGCGGTTTTGTGATCCTACGCAAGAGTGTCGAGCGCTTGAGAGGCAGATGGGCTGCAGGGCCCGATGGCATCCTGTGATTGGCTGCCAGGGTGAGACCCGGAAAACCGGTCAGTCACGGTCATGTGACCGGAGTGACTAGTTACCAGTTACCACTACCACATATCCCTCGACCTTGCCAAGGCCCCGGCTCGCTTAAGTGCTATCCAATGGCCCACGATGCTACAAATTTCGGCCTAGATATCTGGGAATGTACTACGTTACACTTGAGCTGTTGCTGCTATGTGCGGCGTTGTTCTGAGCAACGCTCTGACAATGTTTGAGCGGGCGGAAACAACAAGCTCTAGATCTAGAGCGAGTCTGCGGATTATATCACACTGGATGGTAAGCGCGCTTTTTTCTGGCGTAAAATTGGCCAAAAAATGATTGAACAAGGCCCCAACTTTCTCCGGTTTCACTTGAAAAAAACCGAAGGCAAAATTCAGTTTTCCGCCAGTTTTACTGTGTTTTAGACCACTTAGGCTGGTTTTGCACCAGTTTCTCCTCAGTTTGCATCGGCGTAGAACCGAGGAATAACTGGGCCTTGTTTAGCCGCTTTTGCCTGAGTTTTCTCAAGAAAAAAACTGCACTTACCACCCTGTGTCATGTAGATTGATCGTGGGAAGGGCGGATCGGATGCTGCGCGACGCGAGTCTGTTTTGTTTCTCCGTTCATGGGTGCATACATAGCGCGCACTGTATCTTTGGTCGCTGTTCACCGACCAGCACGATCAGAACGATATCTCTCTTGGTGTTCCTCACCGTTAGCTGCGCCTTGTGAGGCTCAGTGGACGCGGCTTAATCCATGTACTAACCTCTGCAGCTGATGAGGGTCTTTTCTCTACCGCCGTGCGCCGAGCGCCTGACGCTCCTGGGGGGTCTTTGAGCGCGGCTCGTGCGAAAACAATGCATGATGGGGGCGGTCGCAGCATGGCTGTGGCATGATTATCGCAGTACCGGCGTTGTCGGAAGATACGCCAAGCGACTCATAAACTGTCTCAGCGACGGTCTAGTACCCCCGACACAGTTCGTCTGCTTGTATCCGCCCCCACACCACCATGTCGAGGCATTCAAATCAGGCTCTTATCCATACTAATTCGCAGTTGTAGGCACTATCTCTACTCACACTTGATATATGGCTTGATAAATCATTATCATACGTCTGTCCTTCAGCAACCCCGCGTCGGACCACGCTTTCGGAGCAATCTCGAGCAAGTACATTGTTTGCTTACCATGATTGCGCCGTTCACAATATCTGTCTCTCAGGCCTCGTCGTCTACGAGTTCCTGATCACCATCGATGGCGAGGTCAATATAGTCTGGAAGAGACCTATCACTGCATCCGCCGTGCTCCTTGGTTCAGTAAGATGGTGCTTACTCCTCTCGATTGTCCTGCAGCTGGTTCCGGCAACTCCGGATGTAAGCGTCGAACATCTCTGACTACATGAGCATATAATGATGCTTCTACAGGAGTAAGCTTAGTCTCCTTGAGGCTTGTGCGCAACATGTTGTTCACTCGAACCTGGCACACAGCTGTACACCGCTTAATATTCTCACTTGGGCACCCATCCTCATTGGACTCGTCCAGACTGCAGGTATGCCTCACGCAGTCCGTACTGCCTGTAATGCCCGCTCAGTTTTTTCTGTAGTTTTCTCTGCCCTACGTGTCTTTGCTGTCTGGGACAGGAGCTACACCTGGTCACTCATAGTGTTTGCGCTGAGTATGGTACCATTCCTGACGAACCTGGTATGTGCCGCCTTCACTCGAGTTTTGCATACACTCAAGCTCTCACTTCTATCCAGGTTATTGCGGCGGTGTCGAAGTACCGTTCTGTCACGAATCTGCTCTTCGAAGTGACGTGCATATTGGAGATACCGTTGTCCGCACAGGCAGCCACCATGTGAGTGTAAATCGTCCGCAGTTGCAGTCCCTGAATGTTAAGTTCTGCGGTGCAGAGGTACATCTTGCAATTGGAGCCCTCTCAATGCTGGAGACTCTGACACCACCTGCCTGCAGTCCTGTTCAGCACCCGGAGCTCAGTTTTGCTGGCTGATACGATTGTGCTTGTCCTGACCTGGATCAGGACATTCGGACACTGGAGGCGCGCCCGCAGGCTCAACCTTAGGGTATCGCTGACGGCTTGTCTGCTACGCGACGGTCAGTAGCCTTCCTTGCACCTTCGCAATTTCCGTCGCTGAAGTTCACCTACTCGCGCAGGAACGTTTTATTTCGTGTGAGCATAACAAGAGACCTGTCCATCGGAGGTGATTACTTACATAAGAAATGTAGAACTCTGTTAGCGATAGGTGTTGTCCAATTAGTTACCGCAAACTTCCCTCCGGTACGTCTCTGACATGGATACATAGGTAGCTAGCTAACATCGCATCCAAGGACCTAACGCTTGTGGGAGCGTTCGTCACGACTCTGGTGTGTGCTCTGCTTCCCTTTCGTCGCCTTAGTGCTCATTAGCTGAGGCTGCAGCCCCTGGTGCTCATTAACCGCTTCATGATTAACCTACGAGCGGTTGATTTGGAGCCGCTTGACTACTCTGTGCGCATCGCTGATCAACAACAAGGGCAATCAATAAGTTCGATGCAATTCAGGAGGTCAGCGAGTCTACTGGGAAATATTGGAGGGACGCTGCAGGATTGTTCGAGCAGTGAACTCTGGGATGAAGAGACTAGCATCGTGGAATTGGACACGCCAGAATGTCGTGAAACCAATATAGGGACACGAACAGGTGCTGGGACTCTATATTGAGCACTATTCGGGTGAATGGTAGCATTTTTAGCAAATGTGAATAGAAAGAGTATCAGCACGATCATCACGGACAGTATGACGAAAAAGAGCCAAAGCGAATAAAAATCTTGAACCTCTGCAGCTGCAAGGTTATGGATTGCGACAGTACACTGCGACGTCCCGAGGCCGGCTCCGGCGATGGGAGGAATCGCGGCGTTGGAAACTTCGGGATGAGATTCCAGAGTAGACAGCCGGAGCGAACGTTTCCGAGCCGATGGTACACCACGAGCCACAGCGTATAACAGTTAGGCCAGTGTTCCACGCTTTGATGCCAAGCCAGAGATGGCGATTCGGTATATCGTCATTCTTGAGCACGCATAGCAGATGTGGATACACGACAGAGTAGCGACCGACGTCCGGGTCTGCGAGCTTGTGGTTCAAAGCGGATACTACGACCATGAGGTTGCCGGCCAGGGGTACAAGTGGCCGCTGAAAGCCCAGAGTTGTGTCTCCCAAAGTGCTAGGCAGGAGTAGGTAGCCCATAGTTTCGATCCATGGTCGCCCAGACTGAACTCTGCGCACATTAAACGTGGCTACAAGGGGATAGTACAGAAATCTCTCACCTGGGTAGTCAGAGTTTCCGCTGTCTGCTTCGAAGAAACTTGAATCCACCGTCAGTCTCACGAATATGTCCGAAGGTAAGTACCCTATCAAAAATATTACCGTGGGATTTACTGGGTCAGTATGTGATTCCTAGTGCGGATTCCGAAGCTACCACTTACATCTGCTGTCGCAAAATCATTAACGGAACAGAGTACTGGCCTATTCGGAAGTTAGAACATAGCGCAATGGAGGAAAAGAGCGGATGAAACGTTCGGTACTTAAATGAGACGAAATAAACTCAGCTTTACAACCTAGCGCACAATTCACAGCAGCTTAGTGAAATGATGGGCGTATGTCTTTTGCGCAGATATGTCAGAACGGCGATCTGGAGACTCTTGAATCACGGGTGAGATCGGTGGAGCGCATCAAATTGATCTCGCGAGAATGGTACTGAAAGCCGCATCAAAAGCGATGGAGTTTGGCGCCTTGGCGGAGCGCACTCGGTGCAGTCAGCCACCTTCGGATATACCGAGGTAATATCTTGAAGACCATAGGTCGCATAGGCGTAGAGATGGGGCTTTCGAGGTAAGGATCACTTATCGGAGGGTTGGACAATTTGGACCGTGCTCATAACTGTTGGCCGCTTCTAGTTTTCTCTTCAGCTCGACGACTAAGCAACAAGTTTTGAAAGCAGGAGCTTTGTATGATACCACCGTAGAGTACTTACCCTCGTCTTGGTAGATTGTCGAGGGGAGTGGCTGGGACACAGTAGCTCCTGCATGACTCTGCTTGTCACCTGTCGAGCCAGTCCAAGTACTGAGAGAAATTAGCTCGCCTAGAGAGGAGGAAGCGAGTGTTCGGTGACCACGGTCCTGAGAAAGGCAAACCAAAGTAAGTTATGTGTTTATACGCCTGATGGCGACGGCTGACGCATCGCCGCATCGAGGCTACGGGAAGAGTTTATTCGCTAACACCACGGGTGGGAGTAGCTGTCGCGACATTTGATATGTCCCTTGTTCGTGGAGGAAGGTCGGCCTCTTCACGTCTCTTTCTATCACGGGTTGAACATGTCTCTTCAGAGGTGTCGCTAACATGCTCACACCGAGTAACCGCTGTTACGTCGGATACCAGATTGACTTGTTCTTGCAGTGCTCGAGAGCATCTGTCTCTGCGTTACATGCGTCGCGCAAGCCCTGCGCCGTCCGGTGCGATTTGAAGAAGTGTGGTGTCATAATATCTCTTCTGACAAAGGGGCCGAAATTTCCCACGCCCACCGAACGTCCGCCGCTCTTCGTGGCTACCTATCGTGCTGCTGTGCACAATCCCGAGTTATGAAATCTTGAAGGGTGAGTAGAGTTTTGGATACTGTGCGTAGTCATTTGACCATGTAATAGATGAACTAGAGAGCACGGACTGACAGATGAACGTGTATTAGATCACGATGGAAATAGGAATTCCCATTTTAACTGTCATTCCCAAGCGCATCAACAGCCTTCCACCGCCTCAAGAGATTCCCTTCCAAGCTATGTACGCGGCCTTCGCTCGGAATTGAACCACCCTGTACCCGGCTCTGCTGATCATACTTCGCTGCAGATGCTTTCACGAGTCCTTCTCAGCCTTCAAAGGAACGTAGCTCGGGGGAATTATGTATGGTCACAGCATAAGTGCTATTCAATAGCAGGACAAATTGCTAGGAACCGTGTGCAAGTGGTGGCCTTCTCGATGCAGCTCGCCTCTCTATTTCCTTCGCACTGACTATGTCAACTTAGTCGGACCAGGCTTTTATCCAAGCCTACTCTCAACTGTGAGTATTACCTCTGTTCGTACAAGCTGACGAGTCGAAACTCACATTTTGTTGTTTAGCTTCGTGGAGACTGATATCTCTGTGGTCGTCTCATGCGAGTGCTTTTATTTTCATTTCTCTCTCGCTTTGATCACGATATTCCATATCTTTAGCCCTCGTCGTCTACGAGTTCCTGGTCACCATCGGTGGCGAGATCAACATTGTCTGGAAGAGACCGGTTACCGTATCCGCCTTGCTCCTTGGCTCGGTACGATGGTGTATGCTTTTTACAATCATTCTGCAACTCACACCACGATGTCTGAATGTAAGTTTCGGATGTCTTTGACTGTGTGAAATCTGAAATAATGCACCTCTTAGATATAAGTATAACACCGTTTTACTCCCATACACCATAGCTTACCTCCCAGAGCATACAGCTGTCCGTCTGTTCTTATCTTGACCTGGGTAATTAATCTTGTGGGATCCATCCAGGTTGCACATACGCCTCACACGGCCTTTTTATTTATTTAATTTTAGTTAGAGCTGTCCACTGATATCCACACATCAGTCTTCTCCTTTCTGCGCATCTTCGCGACCGGAACCGAAGCATGTCTGATCGCTGCTTGTGTTCAAACTGAGCATGGTACCGTTCGCGACCAACCTGGTGAATATCAAGTACTCCCGCTTGAACCCCATTTTTACTCTGTTGATGCTTCTATGTAGGTTTCCGTTGTAATATTGAACCATGCTTCCATCGTGGATCCACACCTCGCGTAACAGCATGCATCCCGGAGTCCCCGCGCCCTACACGGACAAATAGCATGTAAGTGTAAGTATCTCACTGCAGCCATGTCTGAACTCTAAAATTCGCAATACAGATGTACGTCCCACAGCCCAAGCCTTCCAACATTACGGAGACACTCACGCCGTCTTCTCATAGCTATATACATCACCCGTGGCTCTCTCATCGCCACTAATACGATTGCGCTTGTACTGACCTGGATCAAGGCGTTGGGACAAAGTTGGAGGCACGTGCGTAGCGTTAACCTCACGATGTCTCTGACGATGTGTTTGCTGCGTGACGGTCAGTAGCTCTCTTCGCGCCGTCGCATCCGCTGTTATTGAAACCTAGCCATGCATACGGGAACTATCTAGTTCATGCAAGCTCTACCTGCAAGCCATCGAGGACCGCTCGCCCGCGACAATAAACGTGGGGCTCTACCAGCAGTAAGCATCGCTCAGCTACTAACCTTTAACTCCTCCGCGGTACGTCTCCGGTAAGAGCGCGGAAGCAGACGGCTAATGTGCTTCATAAGAATCTGTAATTCGTGTCTGTGCTAGTCACGACCCTGGTATGTAACCTACTTCTCACTGCTCACCCTAGTAGTCTTCATGTATCGTCACGCAGCTCTCAGTGCTCATCAACCATTTCATGGTTAACCTACGAACGGTTAATTCGGAGATGCCGGACTACTCTCTGGTCATTGTAGAATGGCAGCAAGGGCCACTGACGGTGCTATTCCGAAGGCTAGCGAATCGGCTGGGAAATATTGGGAAGACGCTGCATGATTGCTTAAGTGACAAGCCGTACGACGAAGAGATCCGCTCCGCAGAAGTGAATGAGACAGCGTGTCGCGAGACGGGAACGGAAGGATGAAATAAAGCCATCGGTTTTACTAGAGTGTGTTCTGTTTCAGGCGGACAGGAAAGTTTGTATCCCACTTGAACTTGGGCCATGGTTGCAAACGATTCTAATTGAACGATATGCCATCGCCATCAGGCCTCTCAGTGCGCATACATACCTGTCTGGTTCAGCTTTTGATCGAGGCTGTGAAAAAAAAAGAGACAATAATATTAAGCAAAAGAAACACGGGCTGGTATTGTCTCAATGCTTCTTGTCTCAATATTCCGTAAAGAATAGAGCCCTGACGGCCTCGAGGTCAGGAAACGCGCTCGAGAGTGGACGAGTCTCGACAACACCTCCTTGCCTGAAGACGCTAAAATAAACATTTTGCTCTTGGAGCCTGAAGATTCGAAGATGGATAGCTGTGTTACGTCCTTCGTCTCAAAGATAGTCCTTACTTCACCCCGAAATGGTCGGACTATTGCCTTGCGGCCTGATTTTGACCGGGTAAATTAAAGCTCATATTTCCGATCTGTGGAAGTTTGGCAGGTTGTGAACAACACCGGAGAGATGACGGGTGCTATCGCACCCCCGGTGGCTAGAGTGCTGGCACAGGACTTGGAGGGTAAAATTGTGCTTTATTTAGGCGAATCTAATACCCACCTTGAGCTTAAAGCTTTGAAGCTTAAATTTTTGTTGCATTCACCGCTGTGAAAGGCGGGCTCAGTAAGTCGAATCAAGCCTTTACTGCGGGACAGACCTTTCGGGTGAGCTGAACCGACCCGGATGTGTCTCACGATTTCGAAAGCGCAGCAAGCCATGGCACGAGATATCCTGGAAAACTTCCCTTTCCAGGTAGCTGTAACAGCTGTGGCGTTACCAGGGCGTTAATGTTACTCACGGTGCTGCGCTCCAACCACCATGGCCTGACTCGCCGACGACGTTGCTCCCCGCCCTCCATCTCTCTCCCCGCTCTTGATGAGCTGCCCTCACAATGCCTACGACGTGCTCAACATTCTACCAGCTCCTGTTTCTGGGATTGTGTCGCTCTAACCTTAGCGTCTCATCCGCATTAAATGACCAACATGATGCACGCACCCTTCACACCCGCGACATATCCGTCGCAAGCGCATCAAGCTTCATTATAGTTGTCGCGGTCGGATTTATCGGCATCCTCCTCATATGTGCAGGCAGCAGTACGTGGTACAGGCGGCGACTCGCCCGTCGCCATGTCCTGCCTGATCGTGCGACCACTCGAGGCCTGGCGCCGCGGCCTCAGCTCTGGGACGTCTATCTTCCAGACCTACAGGGGTCTCCTGACTTGCGAGACAGCGCAGATTGGGATCGAGTGCTGGTGAGTGTCGCACTTTCCATGGACCGCTTGACCGCACCATTATCGACTCTGGATCTGACTCTTGAGCCCAGCCTTTGGCGGTGAAGATCGAAAATGAAAAGATCGCAGATACGGCCAGCGTCGGAGAGAGGGGGAAGAGGCCAGAGCGAGCTGTGAGGCCTAGAAACCGTGTCGCAGACTGGTAATGCTCCTCTAGCCAGCTCTGTCTCGGGTGTCTAACCCCCTATAGGTTCAGGCCCTGGCCTTCCCGCGCTGCGCCTTCATTGCAACAAGTCCAGTCTCTGCCGCAGACTGCTCTTTCTCCGCCGCGAATTCCTCCGCCGACAGAACTCGCTGGCGCCGAGGTCGTGGTGCTTATTACGATGCCTTCTCCGCAGGCTTCGCCACACTTCTCAGGTATAAGTGGCCGGCAGTCGCCGCTTGATGTGCTGGGTCTGTGGGCAGAGTGCGCTGTTGGCACGTCAAAGCTACCCTATCGCCGAAAGACAGATGACTTTATTTCGCCTGTTCCTTCATGATGACCCTGCTGTCTCATTCGGCTTTGCTATGATTGACTCGCTTCATCCCGTGACAGGTCATGACGACATTCACGTGAGGGAGCGCCATTCGGTACGATCACATTACGAACCTCTCGAGTCGTCCCCCACAGGTTTGTTCATACGAGGGAGCAATCTCGCACAGCCTCTGGCACCGGCTACGAAAATGAAAGATGATGCCGCTATGTCGGTTTGACCTATCACATTTTTCTTGCAGCCCTGAACTAGCCCTCACCTGAATGTCCGAGAAAGAGTCGGATTATATCCACCACACTAATTGCCCTGAGACCTTCGCATGCTGAATATGCGCAATACTGAACGCGAAGAGCAGGGTCTCTGACTGATCATCCACCCCCATTTACGCACCAGGATATGTAACGGCTCTCGTGCGTCCATCCGAAATACGTTACCGAGGACGTACAACTGCGTCATGCTCTTCGTGTCTGTACATGTCCGTACGCGCTTTTCAGCCTGGTAAGTACTCCCGCTACACGCGTTCGTCTTCTTCTGTTGAGTGTTCTCACCTGATAGACTACCGAACTCTACGGCAGCACCCTCGTCGTCATAGCCGAAAATATACTGACCCAGCACGGAGAAGCTCACCAACCCCGCGGGCATGCTGACGAAAGCCTAACAACACTAAGGCAAAAACAAGACACCATCGGGGCGAGCGATGGTGCTTCGTGTTCCCAAGCATGATCAACGCTCGCCTGCAAAGAGTCCACATTGCTCGCTAAGAAAAAGGACTGCCTCAGCGCTGGAAGTGCTCCACATATCGCACCGCAATCGTCGCATCTGCGGACCTGCCCTGCGATGACCCTTCCCACACTGCACGGAGGTGTCGGTGCGTGACTGGCGTCCTCGCAGGGCCTCGACTCCGCATGCAAGACAGAGAACGGCGCGTGCTGATCTCAGTGTTTTAGATGAGGAATTTTTCCTGCGTCCCCCGTCTGCGCGTTACTTCGTTGGGGTCTTCCAGCGAAGCGGCGTCCCTTTGCTCGTGCCCATGTGTACGATAACACACCTCGGACCGAGCTCCACCTCGAACAAATCTCAGCAGAGCCATCATGATTGGAAAACAGCGAGGCATGTCTGCGCCCGGACCCGTTTTCCGTTGCTCCTCCGAGACGCGCGATCCATCGTGTTGCAGGCGACAGGGCGTCCGAGTGTGCCAGGAGAGAGAACACCGAGCAGAAGGCCCCGCACGTCTGATCGGCCTTTTTTTGCGCTTCGGGCCTGGGCTGGCTGAAGTCAAAGGTGGGAACCGAAGGGTCCACTCCATCCGAGGAAGCAGGGGCCCCAGACGCGCCAAAGGCCCCACGAGGGCGGTGCAGGATTACTGTACAATGCGAGTTCGAGGAGCATATGTCAATGTGGGGTGCCCTGCCAACCTGCTGCGACGCACGAGCAGGATCTTACGCGGTGTAGCGGCAGCTCAGACAGTGCATGACGCATCTGCTTGTGAGATCCGTGCTGGATCGCGCCCCCGGGATGGTGCTCGCTGATGCCCGGTGGGTAGTGCGTGCGCCAGGCTGCTGCCGACTCCGCGGTGGGGGCGGGACGGCATCTCAACTTAGGGGGCGGCACGCCCGGGAGAGGCCTGTCGCCCGTCGATAGCTGTGGGAAGAGATATGCTTGCCTTGAAGCTCCTCAGGGGTTTTTTCGTCCGAGGTCGGAGGTCGCCTCAAGGACTCCTGGGGCCTCATGCCAGAGCGTTCGATGCACGGTCCGAAGGCATCTACGACTCGGAGGAAGACGTTATCTACGTGAGGTTTACGACGTCGATTCCCACGTCTCTGCCAGTCGAGTGAGTTCGCATCCTCTCACATGACCAGCTGAGAAATGACTCGTTTGTAGGCCGCCCGCATGAGAAAGTGCTTGGAAGCTCAAAACCTCGACACGTGTCTGTTTAGGTTATTGCGCTTCTCCTTGGTCGACGGAGTTCTCACTGTGCGAGCTTCTCCTGCCAACTGTGCCGCCGGGCTAGCCCTCGGTGCAAACAGACCCGCTCCCAGCCCAGCCACACCAGACGGGGCATCGCATGTTACAACTCAGGGCCGTAGGCTCGCCCGCTCCGTGCACCATTCGTTCCGCCGACGGAAGGAGGCCGAGGGGGGACAAGCCCCGCCGTTCAGTTAAGGTTAGCTGCTATCCTCCGTCTTGGACACGGGATCGCCCGCATGCATGTCACTAATTCGATCCATTTGTCTATCTAGCCTATCGAGCGAAACGTTCGCCCGCGATCTCATCTTCGCTTGGAAGCCCGCCCCGGTGCCCCGGAAGCGTCCACGCTCCTGCCGTCGCCAGCAGCGACGCCACTACTGCAAACGTCGGACGCGAGAAGGGGCCAGGAATGATGATGATGATGTCAGGCGCGGGAGGGGTCTCGTTCAGTTTGGAATAGCAGGTGTCTGAACACGGACAGTTTGAAGGGCAACGTACGCCGCGGAACAGCACAATAATAGGAGGCGGTGCCGGCGAGCGAGGCCGACGAGGCGTCCGACGAAGGCTTCGTTTCGCGTTATGCATCGGGGCAGAATAATGAATAGGAAAATGGAGCGCGCGAGAGAGAATGCAGGACGCCCTCCCGAGTCCCGACGTGCAAGACATGCAGAGCACGTGGGACGCGGCCCGGTCGTGCATCGCGATCACACCCAATAATGCACGTATCCGCTGGCGGGCGCAGCGCATTAAAGGGCGCGAAATTTTTCTGGTTCGTGAGCGAGCGTGCCTGGCCCAGCGCGAGCGCCGCAACGTAAGACACCGAACCGCGAGCTCGCCGCCGCGCCAGCCGACGTGCCGGGCTCGCGCTGCCGCGGCATGTGCGCACCAGGGACGTAAGGTTGTTCGGTAGGACGTACACAGCGCAGGCAGCGTAGACGGGAACCTTCGGAGGCGACGGCTAGCGCGACATGTTGTAGATGCGCTCTTGGCGACGTCGCCGCCTGCGCTGCCAAAGCGTCATCGCAGACACTTGGGGGGACTGCACGACGTGCAGTGCAGCCCAAGACAAGCGGTGCCCGGGCCGCCGCTGTCCGCTGGGCGACGTGCGAAATGCCTTCCTGGCGACGCAGGTCTGCAGCATGTCGACACACGTCCGCCGCCACGAGCCCGTCAGCCGCGCGCGGGTCTACTGGGGCGTGTTCCTGTGCTTCTTCTCTCTCGCTCCTTCTTTTTTTCTCGCGACGGCCCTTTTTGTGCGCGCGTGTGGGGGGCGTGCGGCAGGGAGGGGGAGGGGCAGCTTTTTTTTTTCGCTGGGGAGTGCGTTGTCTCCCGGTCGTGCTGTCCGTGTCGAGACGCCTTGTTGGCTGGCGGTCTCCATTCGCGGTGCTGCACAGCACACACGCACACACCCTCTGCCGAGCATCCCCAAACACGCACGCCTGGGTCCCACGAGAGGCCCCAGCGTAACAGCCAACAGTGGTTGCCCCACGCGAGGGAGACTCGGACTCGTATACGTGCTCCTGGACCCTGCCTGATCAGAAAGCAGAAAAAGAGACAGGCTCGGAGGGGGAGCCTTTCCCGCGCAACGCAGAGAAAAAAAAAGCGCAGGTCACCTGGCCAGTCTCGGGAGGTGCGTGTGCGTGTGTTTTTTTATGAAATGCTCTCGTAATCTGAAGGGTGCGGGCAGCTGATGTGCGCATTGGGCCCCGCGAGTCAGGGAGAGCGTGAAGCAGAGAACGTATGGAGGGTCCCCGCCGACGCCTATCCTGTGCTCGCCGAGCTGCACGTTGCATCGCCCCTGAGTATGCATTGCAGTACATCGCGGCCCCGGTCGCGCTATCGGAGTGGATCAAACGACCAAGAAGCTCGCTCGGAGAGGGTCGCGTGTGTATTGTGGAGCTCGCTGCTGCACCGTTTCGCGCATCGCGGGCTGGGATCAGCCCTATCTCGGTTTTGTGTGTACATAATTGCATATAAAGCCGAATAGATGCACCAATTGAGTGGGTGAATAAGCCGGAGATGGCGAGCCTGTTCGTTGGGCCTGAGGCCAGAGCCTTTGCGTGCGTCCTGTTCGGATATTCGAGAGCGACGCGTTGCGGTGGCGTTCGAGGTTGGCAGGCGATGCGCCTCGTGCAGCAGGCCGCTTGCTCAGACTCATAGATGGGGCGCACATGAGGCTGATGGCGAGCATTGTAAGGTGACCGGAAAGGAGAATCCCCCACCTCGGGCGTGTCGTCCTGAACCTTCATGCGCCCTGCTCAATGTTTGCCGAGACGCGATTGCCTGCCAGTGAGATATGAGATGTCGCGTGTGCCCCCCCCGGTGTGGGTTAGATCGCTTGCTCGGATGATAGACGGGGTCATGCATAAGAAGTCGCTGAGATGGCCGGGACATTGAGAGAACCCACGGGTGTATCCTGGGCCCGCGACCCTCAGGCTATACGTCCGCCTGACCCGAATACAGCCCCAGGAGGGCGGCGATTCCGCGATGTCTACAGGCTCGCTCAACTGTACGATTCGCCGATCCGGTGCAGAGACGATCCCTCAGATACATCAGACACGCACACCCGGTATTTGAGATGTTTGTGGGCTTTTGCAATTGAGTGGGAAGAAGGCCACAGGCGTTATTGATACAGCAGATGACGAGAAAGTAAAGAAAAGAGGAAGAAAAAAGGAAGAAAATGTGCGACGGTAAGCAAGAAAGCAAGGGCCTGCAGGAGAAGAAGAGCGAGGTATATGCGCGCAGGCGGCGCAGGCAATAGAATAAGTTGGTGCTAGCGGATCGTGCAGTGCATCAAGTTTTGGGTGCATGGGCGGGAGAGGTCTATAGTGTATGTGTATACATATAATGCGTATGGCGGGAGCTGTTTGCGTTGAAGCAGGTATCGCGAGGCGGGGCGTGCGGGAGGGGGGCGGAACGGAGGTGCCCATAGATCACAGTCGGTTCACGTCGGACTCAGTGACGCCGGTCTCGTGCGGGCGGGGCGGCGGGTGGCGTGCAATGCTAAGGCGGAGGGGCTAGTCTGTCACCGGGAGAGGACACACACGTCCCGGGAGGTGTCGCGACGGAAAGACTCGCGTCGTGTTATTGCGCCTGGGCGCCGTCGGGCGAGATGACGACCTTGAGGACCATCGCGCCGTGCTCGTCGCGGCCCTTGGCGAGCAGCTCGAACGCGCGCTTGCTCTCCGGGAGCGCGAAGCGGTGGCTGACGAGCGCCGCGGCGTGCTTGCGCACGAAGCTGCCCTCGAGGGCGAGCAGCGCGAGCGCCTCGGGGTACGTGTCCGCGTAGCGGAAGCTGCCGAGCACGTCGACCTCGCGCGTCGCGGCCGCGCTGAGCGGGAGCACCGTCTGGCGCGTGCCCATGCCGATGAGGAGCACCTTGGCGCCGGCGGCGGCGAGGAAGATGGACTGCTGGATGCACGGCTCCGCGCCGGTGCACTCGTACACGACGTCCGCGCCGCCGTCCTCGGTGAGCCCGAACTCGCGCAGCGCGGCGTCCGCCGCGTCCTTGGCGCGCTTGAGCTGCTCGTCCGCGTTCTTCGGCTTCTCGCCCGTCGGCGGCGGCAGGCAGAAGACCGCGTCCGCGAAGCCGTGCGCGAGCGCAAAGTCGAGCCGGGCCCGGTTGATGTCGATGGCGCACACGCGCTGGATGCCGTACGTCCGTGCGACGGCGCAGGCGAGCAGGCCGATGGCGCCGACGCCGAGGACGATCATGCTCGTTGGCAGCTGCGACGGGGGTGTCGAGGAGCTGAGGCCCGCACGCCGGCTCGCGTGGATGAGCACGCTGAGGGGCTCTGCGAGTGCGGCCTGCTCGAAAGAGACGTTATCCGGTAGTCTATGGCATCCGGGTTAGCGATGAATAAAATGTGGAAAAAAGAAAAGGCAACGTACGGATGGATACAGGACGCGGGATGGTTCATGCGCTCCTGGAGGGTGCCGTCGAGGTGGGGGAAGGTCTTGGCGCTGCTAGCAAAGCGCATGTTCTTGCAGAGGTTGTAGCGGCCCTTGGCGCAATAGCTGCATTGGCCGCACTTGATGCCTGCCTCGATAGCGACGCGCTGGCCAACATAGAAGCCGTGGGTAGATGACGACGAGGAAGAGGGCCCGAGTGCAGTTATGACGCCTGCGGCCTCGTGGCCGAGAACGAGGGGAGCCTGGAGGGCAAAGTCGCCGTTGCGGCCGTGGAGGTAGTAATGCACTGGGAATGGGCAGATGGGAGTCAGCATTCCTGCGACAGAAAGGATAGATGGAAAGGACGGAAAACGTAAAGAGACGAGAGGCGCGCTAATGGGGTGATGGCGAGATGAAGTGATGGCGAGTAGGCGGAGGCGAAGAAGCATACGCGGGATGGGAGAGGAAAAGGCTAAAGCGTGCGGACGGGATACTCACAGTCGCTGCCGCAGAGGCCGGTCGCGCGAACGTCGATCTGGACATGGCCCTGCTGGGGCGGCCAGAGGGTGCGCTGCTCGACGCGGAGGTCGCGTGCACCGTGGAGGACGACGGCGGTCTGGGAGCGGAGGACAGACGGAGACATGGCTGGGGAGATGTGCCGCGGGTTGTGTGGGGGCGACGGTTAGTGGGTGTGCGTGTGCAGGGCGGAGGCGGGGCGCAGGATGGGGAGGAGGCGGAGGAGAGGAGGAAGGGCTGGTTATATAGAGTTGGCGACGGTTGCCTTGTGGTTGTCGCGGGCGTCCTGTTGGGATGAGCCTCTGTCCGTGTGCAGAGAGTCCCACGGGCAGGCAAACAGAGGTAAATCCAAACACGAGAGGGTGTCGAGAGAAAGGAAGGGGCCAGACCGGAAACGCCTCTCGGCCACTCGGTCCGGCCCCCAAGAGGGCCACTGGCCTTCCCCAGATCTGCCGATCGTGAACCAGATTCGCTTTGATGTCCCGCTCCCGGACGGTCCGGGACGCAGCTGCCTCTTGCGCTCCTCGCTCCCAGGCAGTATCGCCTCCCGCTGGGCACGCTGCGCTGCAGCCGCTGCCTAACGGCAATCCTCGTCTTCCCCTGCGACGGGATGGAAAACACCCTAGATCTCCTCGGACGCTGTCCCTACTGCCAAACTCACGTTTGAATGCCGTACCTCCCACCCGCGCGCGATCCGTCTCGGGCTTCCTTCTCGCTGCTCTCTGCATTTCGATAGCATTCCAAGACGTCCGCACGAGACTCGCCCGATGCGGTGCACCGCAAAAGATTGGCTGCGCGGCGACGGAGAGAGAATAGGGGCCACGAACCGTGTTCGGAAGGCGGGCCCACCTCCCGAACGGGGCCCACGCCCATATCCGTCGTCTCGACCCTCCTCCGACGGCGCGTCACCAGTCCCACCGGCCAGGCTCGAGCTCGAGTGTCTCCTCTCCTCGCGGCCAGCGGATCGTCGTTCCGGCCCTTGCCCTCGTCTGTCCCCATACACTTGCGCCATCGATGCTCGACGGACTCGCGGCTGCCTCATATAAGGAGCTGTGCACATCCTGACGCACACCCGTCTCATCTCCTCGTTTCGTCGCCCAGCCACGGTGACGTAGGGATCCAAGCCGACACAGTTTCAGAAGGTCTCTACCGAGCACAGCAAGCCTCCATGGAGAAGACTCCAGCCGTCCCAGCTTTGCAGCTCTTTTCGCTCGCGGGCCAAAACGTTCTCATAACCGGTGCTACCAGAGGTACGCTATCCTCACCTTGGCGCGTGCGCGCACCTCGGGCGCCGCCCGTCTGTGCCTGGCCGCATTGCGCTCTCCGAGAGCAGCACACGCGGCGTTATCCTGTGCCTTCTCGCGTAGGCACGCGCGGCGCGTTCAGTTAGACCGGGATTGACACGCTGTGCACTGCGTTCACAGCCACCACATCCCTCCGTCCGCTCATATAATTGTGGCTCGCATCCCCCTCGCGAGCGGTCCTCCGTTTTATCTTCGGCCCACGTCCTTGGTCCCTCCTGTGCGCACCGCAACTTACGCTTTGACCTTGCAGGCATCGGCCAAGCGTGCGCGCTGGCGCTCGCAGAGGCGGGTGCTGACGTCTGCCTCGTCCAGCGCCCCTCTAGCACCAACACCGCGACGGCCGACGCGATCCGGGCCCTGGGCCGCCGCGCAGAGATAGTCGAGTGCGACCTGTCCGACCTGGAGGCCGTCAAGGGCGTGTTTGCCAGGGCCGTGGAGAAGTTGGGCGAGATTCATGTGCTCGTGAACTGTGGGGGGATCCAGCGCAGGGCGCCGGCGGTCGAGTTTAGCGAGGCAGACTGGGACGAGGTGCGTGTGTGCGTGTTGCTCCTGCTCGAGGCCAGGGAGCTCACCGGGCTGCTGTCATTTCCTGCCATATTTTTCCTTTCTCGAATCGACGCGACAACTGCAACCTGTCCTGTCTGCCTATCACTGGATCTCGATATTCGCGCGCTGCCATATGACGTCGGGCCATTTGTGTTCCTGCCGCTGCCGGATGCGTTCGGGACGTTCCCACGGTGTCTGGATCTGACCCTCCGTGGCCCGCGGTCCTGTTTGGGCGGATGCTCGCCGATGACGTCGTCTTCGGCCCCTCTACGCCCGGTCGCGCACCGTCCTCGCACTCACTCCCATTCATATCTCTGCGCGCGTTCGGTGTCTGGACTCGGTCGTTACGACATGCCACGGCCCTCGTGCCCTCCCTCCTCGCCCCCTCCCATCGGGCGACCGCGCATCCGCACCGCACACCACGTAACCGCTTCCCACGGGCCCTTGATCGTCCCCTCTACGCTCGCCGTGCGCCGCCTCGCTGCCTCCCGCATCCCGATACGCTCGCCCCCACGCACGGTGCCCGGCCCCTCTGATTGGCCCCCGCCCCTCCCCGTCCGACGCGTGATCGTCGTGCCCCGGAATCTCGTCGTGGCCCCGGCTCGGCCTCGCCCTTGGGCATCGCGTCGGCCCTGGGGCTTCTTTCCGCCTGCCCCTACCACCACCACTACCACCTGCGCTGGGACGTCGGGCGCCACCTGCATCTGCGCTATCGTTGCCCCGACCCTGGGCGACGACCCTGGACGTCTCTCTCTCGCCCTCACCTGCGCCTGGTGCGACGCGCAAACGCTTATGGGGCCCATGACGCAACCGCGCATCTGCATCTGCAAACGATGTCGTCGTCGACGCACCTCCCCTCTGATCGTCTCTCGCTATTCCCGTTCCCCCTCGTCATTTCTTTTTTTTTTTTTCGTGCGCACCTGCGACCGTGATGCCTCTGCAAATCCTGCACGCCTCCCTTGCTGCATGTCGCCTGTTCGTCCCTGCGCCACGACGCCGCCACACCGCACGACTCTGCCGGTGTGCGCTTGGCTTCGCATATGTTCTGCACTGTTCTGTCCGGTTCTGCTCGGCTCGTCCACCTGGCGATCGTATGCACTACTCGCGGCCCTGCACGCATCGTCCTTGTGCTGCGCTGTTCTGCCCGGCTCTGCTCGGTGCGATTGCCTGACGGCCGTGTACACACTCGCGGCCCTGCGCGCGCTGTCCTTTTTCTGCTCTATGCTGTCCGGGTCGCTTGCCGCGACGGTCGTGTAAACACTCGCAACCCTGCACGCGTCGCCCCCTGTTCTGCTTGGTCGTATTCGGCTCGCTCGCCTGACCGTCATATGCACACACATGTGGCCCTTCACACCCGGGCGAACGACAACGACGGGACTCCCTACGGACACTCACCTGCGCGCACGGGCGCCACACGCGTTTTCGTACCTGCTCGAAACGTCACGCGCGATCGACGTCGCCCGGGGCCTTGTTTCTGCATGCAACTGCGCGCGACCCTGGATGCTAATACACTCCCGTGCGATGCTGGCCGATACGGTTTCGCGGACGCATTGACGACGAACGTGGTTTTTTTTGTACCTGTTTGGTGCCGGTGGAACCTGCTCGAACCGTCTGTGCGGCGGCGGCGTCCCGCAACCAACGTCATTATCTCCATCTCGTGAATCCTGCGCGAACGTAACGGTCACGACGCGCTTAACATGCTTACCTCTCCCGATCCTCACGGTGTCCCTTGTCCCGGACCGACGCACGGGGGACCTGTCAATTTTTTTTTAATTCTTTTCATTTTTTATTTGTACTTTTATTAATCTTGTTGGTGGCGAGCGCAGGTGCTGAACGTGAACCTCAAGGCGTGCTGGCTACTCTGCCAAGCAGCGGGACAGCACATGGTCCCGCGCCGGCGCGGCAAAATCATCAACTTCTGCAGCTTGCTGACGTACCAGGTGCCGTACATTCCCGTCGTTCCCGAAAATTTATGCGCGAATTGTGTGTGCTGATGGGTGTTCCTCGTGCTCGTGTGCTCGGTGTGGTCGGGTGTTTGACTCGTGGTGTCTTGATTTGTGCGTGTTTGATTTTCGTGGGGTTTTGATGTGTGTGCGCGGGGTACCTCTTGTGTCGCCAGGGCGGGATCACGGTGCCCGCGTACGCCGCCGCCAAGGGCGCGCTCGGACAGCTCACGAAGGCGCTTAGCAACGAGTGGAGCAAGGAGAACGTACAAGTGAACGCGATCGTGCCGGGCTACATCGCGACAGACATGTGCGTTTCCTTTTCTCTCCTTCTTTTACTTCCTCTCCTTGCTCTTTCTCCCTTCTCCCTGTCGTTTCTCTACCCGCTTTCAAGCCCAAATGCTGACCCGGACCCACTCGCGTCTCTGCCGCGGCAGGAACGAAAAGCTGCTCGCGGACCCGGCGCGCCTGCGTCAGATCAGCGAGCGCATCCCGGCCGGGCGCTGGGGCGAACCGCACGACTTTGCGGGCCCCGCCGTCTTCCTCGCGAGCGCCGCGAGCCAGTACGTGTGCGGCGAGCTGCTCGTCGTCGATGGCGGCTGGATGGGACGGTGAGGGGCGGCGCGAGGGGCCTAGATGGAAACGGCTTGCGTTTTTGAAGGATGAAAAATGTGTATTTCTTCTTCTGCTGTCTCTTGGCAAATGTACGAGAGAGTCTGGACAACCCGAGCGACGCTCTCGACCTCCCGTGGCAACCGTGGCTTCCGTGTTCCCGCCCTCCTGCTCGTCGGCGAGCCCCACATCAGCGCCCGCAAGCAAGTCGTTTGCCAGAAACGTCATGTGTGCGCGCGTGCGCGCGACAAGGTTAGAGTTGCAGGCCGGGAGAGTCGTTCCCACTCGAACGGGGTCTGGCGGTGAACGCTTCGCGACGCGCAGCTCAGGCTGGTGCAGAACTCGTCGCACCTAATTGGCCCTGCGCGACATTAGCCGTACCGCCTGAGAGCCCTGCAGAACGGGTTGGCACACGCTAAGCGAACAGCTGCCGATGCACGGTCGGCCGGGTGTCGTTAGAGTTTGGCGTTTCGTAAGTCTAAACGTTTCTTGAATGACCTTAAGGTTAAAGGTTGTGCCGTGTGCCGCAGGACGCGGCCCTGTGTGGGTACGTACTGGTGCTGTATTGCCAAACCGACAAGGTTATTTCTCCGGCTAGAAGGGAAAATGAGGTAAGGATGGCATGGGGAGGGAGGGAAAGAAGGTATGCCTATGTGTGGGAGCATTTCAACATGCGTAGAGGCTCAAAACCTACCTGAGCACGGGTGTCGGCGCAGAACCGCTGGCTGTCGCGGCCTTGCCACACCGCGTCCGACTCCTCCCGGTGCGTCCAGAGAAGCCTCCTCGAAGCGTGTGTGTGCATGTAGCACCTGCGTGTGGCCGAACGCGGCAGCCCGTCCAGACATGCGAAGGTTGCGTGGGGCACTGCAGGAGTGTGGCGTGACACGTACGCGGGCGCGGGCGCGGGGGCAAGCCACGCAAGGGTAGCCGAGAGATGCGCGGGACGTGCCTGCAGCTGTCAAAGAGGAAGAGAAGGACAGATGCGCACGCAAGGCTGCTTGCGCGGCGAACGCTGTGCTCGCGTTCCTGACGACCCCAGGCCCATTGACGATGAAAGTATGAAGCAGAACGCCGCTTGCGCGGCGCCACGTAAGATGCAAAGTATTAGAAGGCACACAGCCCGAGCCTCGGTCGATGGGCTATGAAACCCTGGACGGCCGCGTAGCTTGCGCGGGGCGTTGTGCGTTCGGTAATCATGAGTAATTCAAGTCCCTTGTTTGCGGAGCCAATCATGTGTTTAATGTTGCAAGCTCTGATCCATGAGTGCAAGAGACGGTCAGCTAATTCCTCGTGCATCGTCTGAAAAATATCATGGACGACTCACGCGGGGCTTGGAGCACGCTTAAAATTCAGACATACACAATTTGGAGTACGTGTTGCATGGGGAGTGGCTTGCGTTGCGCCATTCGGTCTCGACGTAGTGCAGCTAGTAGCGCCAGTCACCTTGAAGCTTCAAGAACACCGGGCCAGATCTATTGAGACACACACGCACACATGAGCAGGCTTCGATGAATGTGTGCTGTCACATCGTCAATTTTTGCACGAAGGCGCGAACCCACCCCGGTGACAACATGGCGAAGATTGTGCGACCGTGTCTGAGCGCTGCAGGCACGACACGGTGCTCCAAAACACGACTGTACTTCCGTTTCTGCGATATGTGATTCGAGTCGGATGCGTCGCGGGGGCATCCTCGGAGCGCAGAGGCATCCAGGGCTGCCACAGACGCGTCTGTCGCGCCCTAGGGCACCGATACCACCTAGGGGCGCGCGCAAAAGCGTGGATTGCGGGGTCGAGGGCCGACCGATCCAGCTACAATGATATCACTGGGCAAATTCTCGAGGCTAGCGAATGTTCTCGTTTTCAAGGGTCGCCAGAGCGTGAGCCACAGACCGCGCTGTCGCTCCCGG